CACAAACACTGGTGGCATTCTTGCTGACAGATCAGCCATGGGGTGAGATAGTTCCAGAATTAGGACTGCAGAAGTTGGTCATCTGTCTATATCAGGTTTTCTAAATAACAGAGGAAGATAGGAAGAAAATAAAACTTAATGAAGGTAGTCAAACACCTGTTAATGAACACGTAAAAAACAAAGACTTACATACAGTTTTGTAATTGAAATAAAAGAGTGTGCTGTAAAAAGCTAAACAGTCATTCTTCTCCCCTGCTCCCCCCCACCATCCAGCTCTTTTCTAAGTTGTTGGGTTTTTTCTCTGAAGCCCTATTAGGTATACATATTTATAAGACATCCAAGAAAGCTGTTTCTTTGATTAAAGTTTTCCAGGACCAGAAAGGAAGTCATACGGTCAGCACACACAAAAATGGAAAAAAAAACCCCACACCCTTAATTTTTTTTACTGTTGTAATATCTCTGTAACATTTGATCTGTATCTGCACTAAAGGTAGGTATAGAACATCACCCTTAAGGTATCTCTTGCTGTCAGTAGATCATGAATGTTAGCATTGACAGGTGTCCTCTGGTGATGTTATAAAGCATATATGGCTTATTTTAAGCAAAACTGCCTTTTTGTCTTGTCTTGTTGAAATATTCCTACTTTCTCCCTAGCGTCTGTCACTTTTTTGTCATCCTTAAGCTGAGAAATACCCTGTAAAATCTTGTGTGGTTTGAATTGTTTTTCCTCTTCCTAACTTTTGAAAGCCATTACATCTGCCTTAAAAGATGCATGATGTTTTTATTGACACTGTAGAATAAATTCATTTTTTTTTTGTGACCAGGTTCATAAAATCCAGTTATTGCAAACTTTGCACTTTGGGTGCTTTGGTTCTTCTATAATTTTAAGCCACGAAGGCTGCCCATGAGTTGTTCTTTGACTTTCTGTAGAACTATATAATTGCTAAGCTTAAATGCATGCTCCAGTTCTTGTAAGGTCCAAGTCCAGCTCTCTTTTCAAAAGCTTGCTGGTAGGGATGTTTGCCAGCACTCTCAGAACCCTGAGAGGGAGAGAAGGAGCTGGTATTTCTGCTTGCTCCTGTCTCCCAGCTTCCTGTTTCCCATACAAAACAAGCAGCTAATATGCTGTTGATGATGTGTTGAGGTGAAAAAAAAAATCAGATAAATAAATAGAATCTGAAGAGCCTACTAGATTGATTCCATCGATGTTTTGCCATTCAACAAATAAATAATGCTAGTAAAACTTGCACTGTCATTTAATCATATGTGCATTCATTTGACCATGGACTTGTCTAAGTAATTACGTCTTGCCAAAATCTTCCATACAAAAAAAATGAAGTGTCCATGTTAGCTGTGGTTTGCATATGACTAGATTTATTTTTTTATGGGACACCTCTCATAATTATGTCATTTTATGTGAATATAGCAACAGTTATGGCAGAAATGCCCATGAAGTGTGGGGAGTCATAATATGGAAGATGAAGCAATTCAAAAGAGAACAAGTACATCACACTGTGTCAGTATCCATTTTTTTTGAAGTCCCGTGTGATGTAATATAGAATTAGAACATTTTTCAGTATGCCAGTCCTCCATTTGACTGAGAGATGCATCAGCAAAAGATGAACACAAAAAGTCTCTGAAATGTACATCAAAACTTAAGAGAACATGAATAAGCAAAAATGAAGAAAAAGGATTTGAAAACACATAAGTATTTAAAAATAAGGGCTGAAATCAAGTTTATCTGTTCATGTCATGAATGACCTTCTTTATAGGAATGGAGAGAGATCACAGAGTATATAGCTCGACATACTTCAGAGGGGGGAGGCTTCTGGGCCATGCTGTAGAAGTAGTTTGAAGTCAGTCTGTGGCCTCAGTCCCTCCATGAGTGGGATTAAATCAGGAGGACTTCTGTTGTTGCCCATTGCAGAGATTTACTCCAAAGTGGAGGCAAAGAATGACTGTGTGTCTTCCTGTAGTAAATGGTACCTGTATAATAGCCAGGATCTGACTTACGCTGTGTCTTGGATCTCCTAAGTGCTTGTTCAGCTGGTAGGGTAATGACCTCTTTATAGGAGAACTGCTGCTTCAGGGTGAACACTAGTGTAAAATGGTTCACAATTTAAGAAAGCAACCTAATGAACTTCCTTGAATTCCTGGAGCTGAGCATATTTCAGCACTAGTGTGCAGTGAGATTTGGTTTATTTATTTAGGGGTAACTGGGTGTTCAATACCTAGCCTTCATGCATGGAAAAAAAATTACTTGTGAGCTGGGTGGTAGTAGAGAGACATAACATACTGATATCCCCTTTGGGATTTACAAGGTGACTGGTGCCTTGAGTTTGTGCTGCTTTGCCGAGCTCAACACGGAGCATAGGCAGGGCCTCAGAGATGATGGACAACATGTGTAAAATCCACCATGGGATCACTTAAGCCCTGTGAAGTTTTATCTTGCTCATCTATTGAGGACAACAGGCAGAGAGGTGCCAGCTAAAGGTCATGCTGTTCTTGAGACTTCAGCTGAGTTTTGTAAAGGAGGATCATGGAGCATTCTTCAAACATAAATTCAGTTTCACACTAACAAGTTAGAAGGCTACCAGTAATACTACTTTACTTAGGACTGACTGTAGACAAAGATCATACAATTAGCTCACCTCAATAAGTCAGTGGTAAGGGCCGGAGTATCTGACTCCTTGTATTTTTAGTGCATTTATCCTGCTCAGAAATAGTCCATGTACTTTATTAACTACAGTAATAGGCAGATCTCTACCATTTAACAAACTCTGAGACTTAACTCATCTCTGCTACCCACAGGAGCTGAAGTTCCTGCTTGAACAGCAGCTCAGCTGCTTTTGTCAATTTGTGTCCAGAAATACCCCAAACAAAAACAAATGGTGCTTCAGCACTTTAGAAAGACAGACAGATGGGGAGCACATGGTACATGGTGTGGTACATGGCATAGGTCACGGTGGGATAGAAACAATTTCAAAGTTGCATTTTATGATACTGGATTGCAGCTTGATTTTCCACACTTCAGTGTTCTTTCAAAGCCAAAGTTGTTTGTTTCTGTGTATTTGGATCCCATTTGCAAGTCACAGACGAAGATTTAGGTGAAATAGCGTGTGTTTATGTGCCATAGAATACTCACGGAAAAGACAGGACTTGGTTACAGAAAATGAACAGAGAAGCGAGTGCTGTGAAATCAGAGTTTAAATGTATTCCAGGTAGGAGCGGCATGATGGGGACAGCAAAGTGCAGAGCTTAATGGCAAGCTGCTGTGAAGTTACAGGGCATCCTTAACTGGTGAGAGCCAGGTACTGCTGATGAGTGGGGTGGAGCTAACAAAATCTAATACGTACATGGGAAGATGCCATTTTTAAACGTAGTTTAAAATTTCTGAACCTGCTTCCATTAGGATTCAGTTGTTTCCTCCAGCAAACAGTGATTGAAGGTCCTTCAGGTTTCTGTGCTGTTGGAGTCTGCAGGGGAAGCAACTGCTTATCCACATTTCTGGTGCAAACAAGAGCATATTGCCAAAATGCTAGTGAGTTATCTGGCAAGAAACACACATGGAAGAGATCAACCAAAACCATAATTAGTGATTGCTAAGAGGGTGGGATGCATAGGAGCGTGGCCAGAGCTGTATGGGCTGTAGCTGCTGTGTGAGATGGTTCTGGTGAGGCATTTGCCCCAACGGTGGCACCAGGGCTCAGGCAACCGGTCTAAGTACAGGTGTTGCAGCTTTCCCTTCTGCCACTGTAGGCTGAAATATTAGCGCTCTAGTAGACATCTTCCAGAAAGCAGCATCCTAAAATGCAGTGTGGCCTTGTGGTGATAAGGCTCAACCTTTTTTCATGCCCTTCTCCTAAGGGTCAGCAACAGAGCTTCTTGTCTTTGCCTGTGGGACCAGGACATAACCCAGCTTCTTTTGTGAGACTTTGACAATTTTTGTTGGCTTCATAAAGATCTAGGTGGCTAACCACTCTTCAGGTTCAGTTTGTTTTGATGTTTGTGTTGTTTTCTTGGAAGACCAGCCACGCTCCTGTCAGGATTATCATTGACATTATGTAGTATAAACAGAATGCTACGAGGGACCAGGGTCTGTGGGCAGCACTTGCTTGCTGTGGTATTTAGTACTCAGATATGATGTGCTGGTTATATTTATTTGTATATTTATTTACCCCTTAGTTGGGTAGCAGATCTTTTAAGCCATCCCTTAAATTGGTAGTTAGCATGTGTTAAGCATGTATTTTTACTGAGAAGTAGTTTTGAGGTATTTTTTGAGTAAGTACACAAAATAGGTGTGTAAAGAAATATGGTTTACCTTCTGCGTGCACTTGATTCAGCAGATGCTTTATTCTGTTTACTGTGTGGGAGCTCTTCTTGATGAGTGCTTTGGAAGTGTCAGTAATTCTGGTTATTTGCTTCAAATTTGTGTATTAAAATTCACTTAAGCACGGAGTCACATTTCCCTACTGCACCTTTTAATGGCATTTGGAAAATCCTAGCTCATAGTGTCGTGGGTTTCTGCATCAACGTTGCTATATATAAGTGTGTGATTAACAGATGAATGGCTAGCAATATGTTCCACTGCTAAAAAGAGGGATATCCTGACTTTTTCAATGGCAAAATATGAAAAACTATAGTGGACACAGATGTGGGATAGTTAGAAAGTCTCTCATTCATTTGACTGAGTGAAGTGTGAGGGCTTTTCTGTTATCCTTCAAACAAGAGCACATTTGAGAGCTGGACGGGCTAGTGTCCTTGCTTCATGCTCTAAAATTGTATGTTGCTAATCTGAGCATTAAGTCCAAATGTTAAGATTGGAAAAGATACATCCATGCTGTTGTTCATAATTGGAATAAATCTATATCTAATATTTTGCCAAAAACTTCTGAGTATCAGTGCCCCATATATTTGTCACTGGTTTGTTTAAGTATCTATATGATGGTCATTTATGCCTAAGGGTTTGTTGTGAACCTATACCTGTTTTTGCATGACAGGTCACAGTAATGAAAGGCAGTAGTAGGAATAAGGATCATTCGACAGAAGGAGAAGGAACTGGGAAGCGACCAAAAAGAAAGTGTCTTCAGTGGCATCCCCTGCTTGCCAAGAAACTCCTTGACTTCTCTGAAGAGGAGGAGGAAGAAGAGGAGGAGGAAGATATTGATAAGGTAGACTTCATTGGATGCTTTGACCATAGAAGGTTAATGGTAGGTCAGATTCTCCCTAGCTGCGTTCTCTTATGAACAAACACAGCCAATAAAAAGAAGTGTTGCTGTGCCCGTGAGGCTTTAAAGGCAAGTAGCAAGTAGCACAAAAAAAATGGATTATCAGACATGCTTTTAAAATCCTGGACAAAACTCTCTTTTTTAGAGTTAGACTGTAAGAATTTTAATTGGGTTAATAACATGGTGCGTGTCTCAATCTCGATTGCTTAAGGTAGGGTTTTGACATGGTGGTTTTGAATGTTTATTTTAGACATTAAGTTAGCCTGTGTGCAATACCTGCTTCTGGTGGCTCTGATGACATACCAAGCTAATAGTTTTCTTTCTTTTTTAAGACTGAACAAAAATACAAAGATTAAAAGGGAAAAAGAACGAAAAAGTTGTCAACAATTTTTACTGTCTTTGCATGTGAAATTCAACTTATCCTCCAGAATATTGAGAGCATAGGTGGAGTAATCTGTCTCTGGTTTGATGCTTGCTATTTTGTTATTGTTCAGTGATCCTGGCCTTAACCCTTTTTTTGTAAGGACCCCTATGTGGCACCTCACAAATACACAGTTAGACTCATCCTCTGTAACAAGAAGTGGGAACGTGTTAGAGATGTGATGTTCCATCATGTAGATAACATTGATACCTGCATCTCCTTGATGCCTTCCTAAGGCAGGGAGGGACAGGTCAGTGCTGTGAGGAGACTGCCTTGAGACAGATACTGATAAGGAAGAGTGACCTTTACAAAGATGAGGAGCAGCAAGGAGGAGCCTGATACTCTTGACAGTGCTTTCTGTTGACCTCACAGGTCATTCCCACAATGTGGTATAAAATTAGCAGTATTGCAGTTAGGTAGGAGATGTTTTTCTGTCTCATACAGTAATTTGTTTCATTCAGTCAGAACTAGTCTTCTGTGGTCCATCCCTTGTAGGAATGATACACTGGCCTGTAAGTGGAGAGGGCATTTTTTGGCGGTGTATTCTGTTGAGATTTGCCCTCTATCTCTGACTGGGCAGCTGTGCAGTGGCTGTGCTGCAGCACAGCTCACAGGCTGAGTAATGTGTGGCAGGAGATGGGGAAACAGCTGTTACCTACGCACTTAACCTTTCTGTCCGTTCTGTAGTTTCACATACATGTGATTGAGGTCCAAGATAGCTCTGCTCACCTCATCCCACTGAGATGACTTCTAGGTTGCAGGAGGGGGCTAGGAAGGATCTCCTCCCTCTGGCCCCTTTAGGACTGTTACTAGAGAATGGTCCTTGGCTTAGAAATCTACTCCATTTGCAAGTTAGTTGGTCTTGCAGAGAGCATGAATGAACCTTGGACTGTCAGGTGAGGAGGTTTGATGTAGAATTCTGGGTCTTCTGGATGGAAGGGATGGCATTTGGAGACAGCTGTGTGTATCCGTGTGCATCTGGCTCGTTCATACACAGCATACACAGACTCTTAGTCTCCGTGAGAAGCGTGGAAAACTGAGTTTGCACCCCTTTCGGTTCTGCTAGGTGCCACTCCTTGGCGCTGATGGTTTAGAGCAGGATGCTGATGAAACCGAAGATGACGAGTCCTCAGAGCAACGAGCTCGCCGACCAATGAATGCATTTCTCTTGTTCTGCAAACGCCATCGCTCGCTCGTGCGAAAAGAACATCCTCGCCTCGATAATCGTGGCGCAACCAAGATTTTGGCAGATTGGTGGGCTGTTCTAGATCCAAAAGAAAAGCAGAAATACACTGACATGGCCAAGGAGGTATGTTCTGTCTGAATGGTGAATGTAAAGGGAGTTCATTACATATTTCTCTGTCATCTGTTTCTCTGTGTTTTAAATGTTTTCTGTGGGGTCTTTGTCTTCCCAGAGATCCTCAGCTTCTCCAGTGGGATTATGGTGCCCAGAGCAGCTGCTGTTCTTTCTTTGATTCGTTTGATCCTTTGGACCAGAATGTAAAGAAATTGGTCTGTGTACAGACACTAACCTGGCTCTAGTAGTCATTGGTAAAAATCTGTGCATTCTGTGATAGGTACCACCTGATAGTTCCTGCAGTACCAGCATTAACACGTGGATAATGTGTGGATTGTGGTCACTGAAAACAAGTGATACAGATTCGTGTCAGCCACTCGTGATACTTAAGCTATGCATTTGCTATTGATAATACAGGTTGCTATTACAATATAGGTGCACCAAACAAAAATATAGTCAATAAATGTAGTCCCTTTTTACCTTTGATGCTAAAGAATCTAAAAATTATTAATGTTTCATGAAATACTGTCCCTGTGTGCCAGTTTCTGGTAGAGCAACCTTTGGTGAGGCAGAGTCCAGTACCCAAGTTGGAGAGCAAGACATAGAGTTCTTCAGCTGGGAGCAAGGAAAAGAGATTTATCCCCATATTTCACAAAGTATCTTTACGTCAGTACAAGAAGCACAGATAGATGTGAAATGATTGGTGAAACTATTATCCATACCTGCCCTGTCACCCGAAGTTGTCTGTTACTGTTAGCACATGTATGTAAGGTCTGACTGTTCAGTAGTTTGTGTGAGCTTGGAAAGATCCCCAGAAAAAATGAAGTGTTCTGCATGGCAAGTCCTTTTAGAAGCAGGGTCTGTAGCACCTCTGTAGTTCCCATCTGTGACACTGTGTTGAAATACTTGAGTCTCAGCTTTGTCCAACCATTCCTGGTTTGTTCTGCATTCCCACTTAGAAATTAGCAAAGCTTCTTGAAATGTGTGGGGAAAAAGGCGATTAGGAGATCCAGTACAGATACAGAGGAAGGAAAGATGAAAAGAAATAATTTTTTGGAAGAAGAAAACCCGATGTGACTTTTTTCTCGGCTTTTGTCTTGCTGAAGGAAATTCATTCATTAAAAAGGAAAATAATTGCAGAACTTCTGTATAAAGTAACAGATCTGAAACTATTAATCATATTGTTGTAGAAGTCATTGTTCCTGTAGTGATTTATTTATTTTTCTTGGCGTGAAGAACAAATTGCTTATTCAACGTCAAAGCAAAACAATAAATCCAAGTAGTTTACATCATTACAGCTAGTTCCAAGAATGTGCAAAGAGATACAGCATATAATTTTTATTCTTTAAACAGGTGTATATTACAACAATAATGAGCAGCTATAATGTGCTACTGAATATATTTGGGCCTTCTTCACCAACAGGCCTATTCTGTGTGTGTGGATTGCTTGTTTTGTTTTAACATTCACTTTTGTAGTTAGGCTTGCCACTGAGACTGTCAAAGAGACGTTAATGTCAACTCTATAGTGTGAACCATTTATTGGTATTTTTCTTTTTCCTTAGGAGAGCTCATTTAAAAGTCAAGAATGTGAATGCCTTTGGAAGGACATGAAATTACCATTGTACCAATGACTTCTGTTCAAGTAGCTATAAGTTCACTGAGGTTCAAAATACAGTGGATGATATTCTGTTACTTAAATGTAGCTTTTCAGAGCCCCTTTGACGTACAGTTTTCACTTCATAGCCTCTAGCCACGGCCCTGGCAGGGCAACATCTCTGTGTCATATCTGCTGCCCCCACAATGTGTCTTGAGTACCCAGAGTATCTGAATTGCTCTTCCAGAGATATGAATGGGCCTGACAGAAGTGGTCCCTACTGCAGTGGCTACAACCCCTGTTTTAGTCTTGAGAATGTTTATGCTACTTGAAGCCATAGCTTACAAAGCCAGTTAGCTTAGATCAAGCATTGAGCAAGAATCTCAGTTTCTTACCTGCTTAGTACCAACAGTGATGCTATATCAGCAGTGTGCAAATCAAGGCATTTGTATATTTACTTACATATGTCTAGCTATATGCAAGATTTAGGATTTTGGAAGATAGCGAGGCACCCAAACGTTTTCACAGGTGGAGATTATGAGAAGTCTCCTAGTGGATTGGACATCTATCCCTGATTGTCACCAAGAGGATAATCACATCTAAAGTTCATGAGGACACTTTTGGAAGATTCCATTATGTACCTGTCTGCACCTTGGGAGTGCCTTAATTACCTAGAAAAACTGGACCCATGCACCCTCAATTTTCAGTCTTGTGGTTTATGGTTGCTTTGAGCAACACCTGCCCTGGAGACCTCATGCTTTGCCTACAGAGCTTGGTGTCAGCTTCTGCTGGTGTGTTCTTTAGGAGCAGCCTTTCTGTTTGTATCCTGCAGACTTCCTAGATTTAACTTTGAAAGTTTTATTATCTAGACTATAAACCGAGTAGCTGATAAATACTCCTAAGTAGAACCACAAGCGTCCCTGCCATTTGTTAGCATTTCCCCTCACTGAGAGGAAAATTAATTTTGGCCACTCATAAATATGTTCCAGCATTTTTAGTTACTGCAATAATAGGGTTAGTGTTCTGTTAACTCTCACAGGGTTTACTGGGAATATTCAGCTGCCATTGAAAATACCTAGTGAGATTATTATTGCTCAGCCCCATTTCCCTTGCTAGAAAACACTTCATTTTTAAATACATCCTTGCACTGGCAAGCTCCAGGCAGTTGGGATTGTTTCCTGTAGGGACCAGCCTGGTAAATCCAGGCTGCTGCTGTTCAGTAGCAGAGCTGAACACATCTCCCCGTGAATGCTCGGCTAGTGGTTTTGCAGGTACAGTCAGCACGACTGGGAGGTCCTGTCCTTGCAATGCCGCTGCTTTGGCAGCCACCTCGGGGTAGGAGGGGACAAATGTTCTGGCTTGCTGGCTGGAGTCTGGCAAGTTTACTGGGTGACATATGGACTGTAACGTGTAATGCGAACCCTCCGTCCTTTGGGAGTGAAAAAGCAGTGTAGAATTTTCAGGGGATTTTATTTTTTTGGTTAGATCTCTAGGATTCATGTGACATTTGATAGCTAGTTGATGGGATTTAAGAATGTGTTTAATGTTAAGCACGTGCTAACTGCTACGCTGAGGTGTAGCTGGAATCCACTTGAGAGCTCCTGTGCCCGCCACACTGGGGAAAGCAAATCTTTTTGTATTTGGTGATGAAACCAACTCAGGGAGTTGCACTGAAGCACAGCGCTTTCTTTAACCTCAGCTCTGAAGTGGCACTGGTCCCAATGTGTAACACATCCTTCCCCAGGCTTTCACAAAACAGAAATGATACATCAGACTTATCCCACAAACATATCCTACGCTTTTTTTATCTTACCTGGGACTTCAGGACATGGCCCCACCAGGTTCTCCCTACATTCGTGTGGGAACCAAGGCAGTGTCTTTGCATTCCAGGTTAAGGACTGACTTTTTTTAAAGCAGCTTTGGAGATGTCCTTAGGTTGGCTGTGTTAAGTTGGTTTACTGTGCAGTTGGTCAAATGGAGGAAAACAGCAAACTCTGCTGTTGCCTTTGACATTTTTACATTGCTGTGTAGCTCATTTAAGTTACCTTCTCATGACTTGGCAAGCAGAATCTATCACTTCATTTTGGTCCTTGGTCTAATAGTCACAAAACCGAAATCTTTCTGAGATCTAGATTAGGTTCCCCATATGCACTACATCTTGGACATTGTTTAACTTCTAAAATTTTTGTTTATCTTGAGTGTTAAAACTGTGAAAGGGGCGGTGTCAAACTGTGAAAGTTGTCCTTCCTCAGTTTGCTCCCTCCCTTTCAGAGAGTGCAGTTAATGTTCACTTCTTGGCTTTACAGAGGAAAAAAATCCATTAATACATCAGATCACTTGAATTGCTCTTGTTGGAAACTGATTAAAAGCTTACTGCTGCCTCGTCACACAAATGGTGTGTATTCTGGTTCTGATGGGCAGCCTGTCAGCTTGTCAAATTACTCTGTAGGATAATACAGTTACTCGAAGCAACAATGCTGATACACAGAACTTACGTACCTTGTTGCTAGTGATTCTGGGCTTTTCACTCTGCAGGCTGGTAACATGATTTGTGAGTGGGCTGTGGCTTTAACAATGGAAGGCAAAGCTGCTTTGCTGTGTATTTCCTTTCCGCCTCCTCCCTTACCCCCTCCCCTTCCTTTCCCTCCACCAGGCTATTTTTGTGGTGTACTGAGCTCCCAAACGAAAATGAGGGAAGGGGAAAAGGGGCGAGGTGAGAGGTGTCAGTCCTTAGTTTGCAGATCTAATTCAGAAAATACAGCCTGTATGTGGGTCAGCGGTCCCTGCAGATTTTTATTATTTATAGCCATTTCTATAAATACAGGACTTCACACAGCAGGTTCACACGGTGCTGTGCTGCTTGTAAACTGGAAGGTTTTTATCCTTGCTACAGTCTGGAGATAGCAAATGCTGGATGATAGGTTAAGATGGAAATGGAAGTAAGAGGTACATGTGCGATGGTGGTCCTGCCACAAAAGGCAGGCTGTTTATTGATCTGGGAAAACACTGCAGTGACTCAGTTGGAGGACAAGGTTTTCGGTGCTATTTCTATAGGGACTTTTTTTTTTTTTTTTTCCTTGCTGCATGTGTTTCCGTGCAGGCATGTGCATGAAACATAGGTGCTTCTCTGTGCTGGAACTGGGACTGATGACAGCTGGGTGGGTGGGAACATGTGTAATCACGGAAGAAACTTCCTGCAGCTGCCCTGCCATGTACTTCAGGATAAAACCGCTCTTTTGGTTATTTGCCGCCATCGAGAGCTACCTAGTGCACAAGCTGATACTGGGTTCCTTCTCCCTGTGGTGAGCACTGGTACTTAGTGGGTGTAGGCTCCCACAGCAGCCAGTGCTGTGGGCCCCTATCAGTCGTTAGGCAAATATTTGCAGCTGGAATGTGCGGCATGTTCCCCTGATCCGCCTGCTTCCACTTTGCGTAGCAACACATCTAAAATACTGAAATGTGCTCTTTTTATTGCTGTTAGCGTTCAAAAATCTTGTTTTGGTCTGGTCATCAAGATACTTGGAAAACGTCGTTATTGCATTTTGTGAATAAAATTAGGTCCCCATCCTTCACCCTACCCCCCAAACTGTGTAGGACCCAGACCTTTTCCCTCACCCCCTATGTGTAATCTGGCTTCATTCCTTTTACTGCCTCATACCAAGAATATAGCAAACAACTGAGATGTGTGCTCAAGGCTAAAGAAAGTTTTAAAAGGTCACAGTTTATTTTATACAGCCATGCAGCATGGTACATTTTGGAAGGAACACTGGGATAATGTATCAGAGGTTACTGAAAATGAGGTGATACTGGTAGTGGTTTGGTTTTGGTGCCTGGTTTGGGAAAGCATACACTCAAATATTCTAAAATACAATTAGAGAAAAATGAATGCAAAGTAAGGAGCATTATGGTGTATTTCTTGATAAATGTATATTTTAATTTCATTCAAGCTAGAACATAAACAAAGATTACACCTGCAAAAGAATTCAAATAGCCTTGTTTCTCAGCAAGCATACAAGCACTGGGGAGCAGTTTGCAGGATCAGAACTTCAGCCTGCTCTGGGTGGTAAACCCTCAGGAAAGAGGAAACCCACTTTTTTAAATACAGCTCTATTAATCTTAATATTTCTTCTTATTAAATTGTGTTGGTGGTCAGACTCTAAGCATGTGATTAAACTGTTAAAAAATCAAGATTTAAGGATTATTTACTGTATTAAATCCTCTTACACGCAGTGCACTCTGTTGCCCTGTGGATAGTATAATATCATGACTGGCATGACTGGTAACTTTCCTTTTCTTTTCTAGTACAAAGATGCATTTATGAAGGCAAATCCAGGATATAAGTGGTGCCCCACAACGAACAAACCAGTGAAAACGCAAACATCCACTGTCACAAATAGGAAAAAACTATGGGCCTTTGCATCCGACTCCACAAAAGACATACCAAGCCCGAGGAAAGGGAGTAAAAGTGAAGAAATGCCACAGCTTAACTTCGGGATGGCAGGTGAGATTTCCATCCATGTTACTCAGACATAGCATCCTCATTTTGTTTGAGGATGTGATACAGTTTTGGTATGGTAGTGCAAATACCTTTCATGTCTGAAATTAAGTTGCCACGACTCTAGTTAAACCTCTGCATAACAGCTTCCTAAAACTTCCATGGTGCATGATTACTTTCAGGAGTCCAGTCCAAGTCTGTGGCATCATAGCCCATACTCCATTTGGGGTCCAGATTTGGTTGATTTTTAATTCCAGCTTATTTGCTGTCAGAGACTTATATTTGCTAGTCAGAAAGGAAAATGCTGATTGTGTGAGTTCTTTTGCTCTTCCACAGAGCGTTGTACTATGTTTAGTAATTTGCTGTTTACAAAAGTAATTTATGGGTGTCTATGAAGTTAGTGGGTTAACGTTCTTGTGGATGAATATTGGTGGAACTAACTTTTTGCATTTAGATCAAGAGAAGTGTAATTTAATTTCACTTAAAATACACTCTTTTGCCCATTATACCTTGGAAGGCCAGATTCTAACCTTTTAAACCTTTTTTTTTTCCTTTTAAATCAAATCCGTAAATAAGTGTAGATGGATCACCTGAACTGGTGAAAGGCAGATAATCTCTCACTGGTATCCACAAATAGCAGAACTGTGGCAATCATGACCTTGAAATACAGAGATGTTAAATACGTGGAGCTTAAGAACCTAGCAACTGTCCTTTTTTCTTTTTTTTTTTTTCAGTTTAAATTTTCTAATTTTATAAATACTGATATATTTGAAACACTGTTGTATCCTGTGGAGTTTATGACAAGTGTGTGGCAGATAGGAGTTTTTTTCCTTAGAGAGATCATGATTTGGAGAGTGGCAAATTATTTTATGGAACAAGTGTACAAGGATAGAAAGGGACAAAAAGGCATGTATACCTTTTGCTAATATAATAATATGAAAATTCCTGTAATGACATTTCTTCTGGCTGTGAAGGAACTGCGAGATGTGATCAAAATAAAGTTTTTCACACTATATAGTTAGGGTATATGGGAGACCAGTTCTAAAAATCTCAAACTCCTTCATCCCGTTCTGCTTTTGCTGTCAGAGGACTAACTTCTATGCTCCTTGAAGGTTTATTGACTTAACACAAAGAACAAGTAATAGGTCTTTGTCTACCTGTCTGCCATCCCCCACTGCTCCTGCTGGGCTCTCTAGATGTAGAGTTTCTGAGTACATAGAGATCTTGAATCAACACCTGTCAGACCAGAGGACAGAGAATTTAAGAATTAATTAGAAACTAATCTGTTGTTTCATCTGTAGAGCTATCCATTTCTGAAGAAGGCCCTTTTGTGCTTGTCGTGATTTGAGGTCAGGGAGGGCAACTGAGCACCATGCAGGCTCTCACTTCCCCCCCTCCCCGCCCAGTGCTGAGGAGGAGAAAGTAAAGCAAAAGTCTCAGGAATATAGATAAGGGCAGGGAGGGATGATACATCCATTATGGTCACAGGCAAAAGACAGACTTTTTAGGGGAAGTAAAAAAGAACATAAATTTAATACAGACACTAACAACACCATCAACACTTAACAGACAGAGTAGGGCCATAAGAAGCATTACCACATCTTGAAAACACCTTCCCCCACCCCTCCCTTCTTCCCAGGCTCAGCTTTCCTCCTGATATCCCTACCTCCTACGCCTCGGTGGTGCAGTGGGCAGGTAATGGGGGGTGCAGTCAGTCCTGCTGCCTCTTTCATCTCAGGGTGGAGGGAATTTTTGCCATTCCTCCCCTGTTCCAGCACAGTCACCCTCACACAGGACAGCCCTCCACAAACCAACTCTGACATGAGTCACTCCCACAGGTGTGTGGGTCACCCCCGCCTGTTGCAGTCCTCCCAGTGCCGAACTCCAACAGCGGGGGCTTCTTCCCACAGGGTCCCAGCCTTCTTCACCTGTCCCAGCGTGGGGCCCCACACAGGCCCCCAGTTGGCATCTGCTCCACTGCAGACCCCCACGGGTGGCAGGGTTGGGGTGGCCTTGCCGTCTCACCATGGGGTACAGGGGAGTCTCTGCTCTGGTGCATCTCCTCCCCTTCTCCTTCTTCCTTCCACTGACGGCGGTGTTCACACAGGTGTTCTCCTCACAGCTCCCACCACTCCTCTCAGGTTCCCCTTCTTAAATACGTTATTAAAACACAGCTGACTGACCCGGCCTTGATGTAAAGGCAGGTCCAACTTGGAGCCCAGGGGAGCTTTGAGAAGCTTCTCACAGTGGCCACCACTGTAACCCCCTCCCCTGCTACCATAAAACCCACCACCACTCACTCAAACCAGGGCAGTGCTACATGTGATTTTAAATTTTTAAATTTTTTTACTGCAGACTGAGTCAATGAGCATAGTAATTCATAGGGGTCTCACTCCAGTCCTCATGCCAGTGAAGGCTGGCTATCTTGAGTATAACAACAGCTTCTGACAGATGTTAGCAGCATCCAAATCATGACAAGTCTGCCATGCAAAATGTGTTACTGTTTTGTCAACTGTATACCAGTTCATGCTAAATACATTTTGTTGCATTCTCCTCTCTTTGACTTCATGTGACAGTTCAACTCTGACTCGTCTATCCAGGACAACCTCTTTTAAAATCCAGGCTGTATACCATCTGATCCACCTCAGAAACGCTTTTACTTTTGAAATGCCACTGAATGTCTTGCACCTTCAAGGCAGATAGCTTCCTTAGAACAGGGATTATATGATTCCAGGATCATTCCAGGAAATCTGTTTTACTTGTTGGTAGTTGTTAATCCTGTTTTACTTTTTACATATTACATTTCATGTAGTATGTAAAATGTAATAGAGTAAGATCTTCCTTTCTTTAAGTCACACACAGGCCATATCTCTCCTTTAGTTTTGGTATTCCAACAATAACCACTCCACTTTCAAGTCTCTCATGTTGACCTATTGTTGTGTCAAGAACCTGGGGTGTGGCACCAGCATTGGGCTTCTGACCTGTCGCTGCTCATCCAGCCTGTAAGTTGTAATTGGGCATGTTTTTCTCATGACATGGCTCACCTGTGATCTGTTGTAGGGCACAAGGCAAAGACAACTCCTGTTTGCAGGTGAACATGACCATTGCAGAACCTACCCTCACAACTACGGAGCTAAGTGAGCAATAGTTTTGTTATACAAATGTGCAAGATTCCCAATACTTTTAACATTTCTGCACCAGAAGAAAACCATCTGAGCCAAAAAGCCTTTTAGTGAATCAAAGGGTAGAAGAAATGACACTTCGTAGAGCAGGCAATATCCTGACAGAGATGCAAGTTTCGTTTTTTTTGATAAAAGCTTAATTCTACACCCATGTAAAAGTTAGTTGAAACTCATACCTGTTGACCTTTCTTCTGCTTAGTTCTTCCTCAATTTATTCTTTCCTCTATCTGAAAAATTGCAATGATGAACAGGCTAGCCTACTGAGTATCTAACCAGACAAATACTAACGAAGTATGTAATTCCCAAATAGTGAGACGGTTTTAAGTTTCATTAGTATTAAAAGCTGTTGAGAAAGTCATTAATTGCTCCCATTCTGCAAGTCAAATGTGTGTGCTGTTTTCTCACTACTGTTGATTTAACTGTAAAAATTGCTTCAAAATAGCACTTTAAATTCTTAATTCTTCATACCAGTAAGTTCATAGTGCCATAAGAGAAATACTGTTGTGCTGAGAAGGCACTATAAACGTATGGCAGTGTTTGCATATGTACATTTTTACCTTCCCTTAGATGAAATTATTTTGTAATTTGAAGCCTTAGTGGAAGGAATTTTTTTTTTATCATGATCAGATGTCTAAGCACCAGCCCTCTGCTCCAGCTGCAGCATAAGTGTTCAGGTTGTTCAAGCACCAAATTAAACTTCCACTTTCCACTTAGCTGTCATTTTTTTTCTTTCTCTTATTTTTTTTATTTAAATAAACAGTTTAAGTATTTGCTTACTTGGGGAAAAAGAAGTCCTATCTTTGTCCTGTTACAATAAGCTACTTATTTGAAGGTCAGAAAGCTGAGACCACCAAGAAGATACTTAGAAGAGGCAGAGAATTTTAGAGCCATAAACTGGGTGTTCTCCAGTTGGCCAAAACTGAAGAGAGGGAAGAATACCCACAGATAACTAAAGTGAAGCACAAGAGAGAACCTGGGAGCCATCAGTGTGATGTGGGCATAAGAAAGTGCTGTACTGCAGTGTGTCAGGCAAAGTGTTTTCAGGAACTCTAGAGAAGAGTTAATGCCATTGGACAGAGTGCAGCTCATCTGATGTGGTTGCCCTCCTGCTTCTTCACATACAAGAAAGATCAACTCCACCTGGAATAACTGGAGAGGAGAACTACAGGGATGTCTGGGACCATGGGAGATGGACATGCTTGATGACATCAGGAAGTCTGATTTGCTTAGGCTAGGAAAACAAGATTAAGATGATTCCTGTAAACACAGAAGAGGGAAATACCATTTAGGGAGAACAGTTATTTAATCTTAGATACGTGGGCACCAGAAAAAATGTATACCACCTAGCCCTGAGTAAACTTAAGCTGAAAACTAGGAGGAAGTTCTTAATGCTTAGAAGATTTGGGTTCTGCAACAGCCTTCCAATGGGAATAAAGAAAGTAGAAAGCAACCAGCCACGCCCTTACTGTTTAATATAGAGCTCAGTAAGTTTATGATGGGCCTGGAGATCTCTTCCCATCTCTCCTTCCTCCAAATTAACTGCCTGCTCAGGTATTATCTTTCAAGATGTATGTTCATTTGTCACTTCTTAATTGTTCGGATGTCCTCATTTGAAGGACTGAACGATTTCTGATCAAGCCTTTTGATGGCAAAAATGCTCTTCTGACAGAATCACTTCACTTACAAATTGTGCTTCGGTACTTGGTGGCCCTTCCCATTTTCTGTCACTGTTTCTTCAACCACTTCTTTTTACTAGATCCTACAATTCTGATAGTGCCTTGACTCTTTGTAGAAACTTAGTATCTTTTCTTCCCTTTTCTTTTTAAAAGTAAAAATTTTTCTATAAAAAACCAACCAAATGTATGTGTTTATTATGGTAAAGGAAATTCATTCCAGTTGAACGTTGGGTTTGAAGCCAGATACTGTTTAGGCTGTGTTTTTAAGATAATGAGCCACTATCCTTGAGATAGTGGATGGGCTTGGTTTATTCACATAGCTTTCCTCTGCTTCTATTTACTGCTTTTAAGAGAGTATTGAAAAAACTTAGCTTGTAATGTCAGAGATGCTGACTGAGGAAGAACTTTTGACAGGATCTGTGGTACTGAATTAAACAGCACCAGTGAGTATTCCTTTGAACTGAGCTTGGATCATCTGTAGCACTAAATCATTTGGAGGTTTACAGGTATGGGTTTGGCCCATGTCAGCTGAAAAGCTCACCAAATTCCTCAGGGGCCACTCATGAATGGGTCTGGAACAGGAGATTTCCCAGTGGGCATTTTGGTTGCAACTGTTCCACATCCAAATTTGGCATAATAAAATGCAACCAAATGGAGTTTGGATAGTTGGTTGCATAATAAAATGCAACCAACTAACACAATTAGTGCCCATTGGCCTCCATTGCAGGGAAAGATTCTGGGCACATGTAATTTATTCTTGTAGTAAAAGTTTTCGTACAGCTCAGTGAAAGGAAATTGAAAAATGTTGAATGCATGCTTAGTGAAACCTGGAGAAAGTTACTTATCTTTGGTGTCCATCATTGCTGTAGTTGGTGTCTCAGCAATACAGCAAAGATAATGTTTCCCTTTCTCTGACATTGTGGCTGTTGTGCAAGACATTTGGGCCACAGGCTGGCTCCCTCTCTCTGCGTAACTGTTAAAATCAGGCCCCTGCATTGCTTCCAAGACACTCCCCCAAAATCAGACAATTAGGCTTCATAATGATGAAGAGCAACCACTGTTCTGCATGAAAAAGCCACTCCATGAGTAATGCATTGTCAGTGTTCATTGCTTTCACCTCTTGTTGTCATTCTTCGAGCTGAGGTGTAAAGATGAGATGCCTGGAGGTGAGATGCTGGCAGCATCAGATACTTGGAGACAGAACATTTATATCTCCATCTTACTTTCCTCAATTATATATTGTATTGGCAGGGCAACAAGTAGGCGGGCAGCTTGCCTGGCCAGTGCTGATGCTGTTTTGGCAGAGGATCAAGTGCTGCTTCATGCTTCAGAGCTGTCAGGCTGGCACTTTTCACGACTAAATGCAAATCTAAATTAAAGCTAAATGAAAAATAAAAACTTTGCTTCAGAGCTTGATCATGTAATTTTGTTCCATCCTTTCACTTGTTCATTGGCTTAAGGAAGGGAACCACTCCTTTGGTAGGAGAATTTATTGAGTTATAAGCATGTGTGATATTAGAGCATCTTTGAGTATATTTATGTATGAGATCATTACAGTTGCTGTTTTAAAGATATCCATCTCTGTAGTACATAAAACCTTTGGCAGTAAAATTGTAAATTCATGCAATGGGGTGTTAAGCACACAAATCCAATTAAATCCTTCAAACAGCTTTGAAAGCCTCTCCCAGAGGGTACAGAAATGGTTATTTGTGATCCTCCTGAACTGCCTTTTATGGCAGCTTGCTTGGAGTGTCTGTGACAAGTAGCCTTCTGGGGGTTTAACACTGCAAATGGTAGGTTCCTTAAGCAAGGAAATGAATAAACTTAAGACTTGGTTTTACTCTTTTAACAGATCCTACACAAATGGGAGGCCTGAGTATGCTGCTGCTAGCAGGGGAACATGCCCTGACTGCACAGGAGGTAAGGATCTCTCTCTCTTACCACAAGTCCTCAGTTTAAAGAGACCTCTCAAGAGGAATATTTGACCAGTGGGAAATGAATATGAGATACATCTTGAGTAACCTCAGGTGGGACAGTGACTGTGAGCCCTGTGATATGAGTCTTCTATTGCAACCGTGAACGTAGAGGTTGGGTCCAGTTTTTATATCGGATCAGGGTTTACTTTGCTGACTGAATATTTGATAAGACCAGGGAAGTCTGCACCATGCGAGGATACTGTCTTAGGCAGAAGGGTTAACATACAGTGCCTGTGTTAACAAACGGGTGATTTGCAAGCTCTTCTGGGCAAGGATTTCATGTGCCTCACAGAACTGTGGTCTTGGCACTAATAGCAAAATAAATACCTGGTAATTTCCATGTAGTCACTGTCATTGTATATGCATTCTGAAACCTTGCAAGTGCTAATAGGTAATCAAAGTATTGCAGTCTGCTCCTATTCACTAAGTCTTTATGTCTAAAAAGAAATTTGTAGTTCAACTGCCATCACAAACATTTTGGTTTTATGAAGGAGTCTAGTAAAGAAAAGCGTTCCTGCATATCTCCAGTAGTGCAGAGTACCCTGGTCTTTCTTTAGACTCGTTATTATTTATGACCTAATTTTTGGGCCAGCTTTAAAAGTTGTTCAGAAGGTGGTTTGTGTGTTGGGTAAAATAGGTAGTCACTGCCATAAATCTCTAGCCTGGAAAGAACAACAAAAATTAACTGTGCACATGTGATCCCCCCAAATGCAAAGGGTGTAGTACATTTGAGATTAATTGCTCCTTGTACTGCCAAGGCTCCTCAGTGCTTTGCACACCAGTTTGAGCAGCGGAAGTCTTCATGCAGATGTGGGTACTGGCTTTCCGTGCTGCAGCATGAAAAATAAGAAACACCTAGGGTAAGGTTGGCAGAGAAGTGCAAATAAATTGATTATTTTCTGCTAAAATTAGAATGTCCTGTAGTTTGCAAACTTTGAGTCTTTTAGCATGGAGTTTAAAAACTGTTTTTAGGATGATGTTATGTTTAAATGAGAGGGAAGGTGTATTGTAGTCACAGATACTCAGTTCCGTTAAGAAGGGGCTTTGCTGTGATCTTGTGAGTTGAGCTTTCTTGATTTTATATGAAAAGTGCCTCAATTAGTACAATTTCAGATGGCAGTGAAAGAAGAAAATCTACATGTGGATTTAGAGACAATTCAAAAGGGATGTTTTGTGATTGTTTTAGTATATGAACTTTTTTTGATTGGGACTTTTTTTTTTGAGCAAAAGACACATTTCCCATATATCTACATAAACCCATTTTTTTTCAGATGGAAGCATGCAATACGGCTTGTGATGTAACATTTACTTTATGTATATGCTGTATTATGCTGTCCTTTTTTTGGCCATAGTCTTCTTTTGAAACCTGGCCCTCTGCGTCAAAGAGGCAAGCTGTGTAATCTGCTTTCCCTCAAAATGTAGAGCAAAATAACTGTCATAAATTCAACCTGAACAAAATTAGTTGAGGGATTTGTTGGCTGTTGCTAAAATCGCAATGGGCCAGAAATTACCTTGTACTTACTAATGAGTTTTGACATACGCTGTCTGAGGAGCAGGTAAGTGTTAGCGCACTTTCTCAGGGAACAAAAATGCACCTCTCTGATTCTTTCAGAGGGTCCCCTATATAAAATGCATCCTCCAGAACAATCTGGGTGCTTGGTATTCTCAAAGGAACCCAAATGGGTGATGTTTAGTCATCCTAACTGCGTGTCAGCAGGAATTTAGTCTCCAGCTGTGTCTCTGTGCACTGAAAAACTTCCTCAGTTTCTTGGTGTGGCAGTCCTGGTGTGTCTTGCATTTTTCTTTGTTTCCTTTTGATTCAGTGTTTCAGTGATGATTAGATATGGAGCAAATATCTTGTGTTCCCCAAATGCAGTAAAGATCCTAAACCTGTTAAGACTTGGGTAACTGAACAGCAGTTCTGGCTTCCCATCCTTGATCATGTGGACAGAGAAGAGAGTAAGATGTTCATCTCTGCATGCCTGTGGGACCACCTGTGTTGGAATTTCCATGCTTATGCTTGAAAACAGTTTCATGCTCAAACCAGTTTAGCAGAACATGCTGGGAGGTGGTATGACAGGCTCAGTAAGAAGCTCAAGAATTCATTGTAGAGTTGGTAAGCTGCTGTCCTCTTCAGGGGAGGAGGGTTAGTTGTGTTTTGTTAAGAGTTGGTATTGACATGGGGGAGAATGTAGTGTACTAAGGTTACTGTTGAGGTTTTGTCAGTGAAGAGGTTCAGAAGTTGCTTAATTATGGAAAATACAGGTATTGTTTTTCATGCATGTATGTATATAAGTATATGTTGTATATCCAGACCCCTGGCATTTCTTTTTTTTTTTTTAAAAAAAAAAAAGGACAGATGTAGTGTCATTTTTAAAAGAATTGTCATGTTACATCATGTAGTCTTCATTATCATTAAGGCATGTGTGTGTGTACATGTAAGATACAGATTATCTGTCAACATGCAGTTTGACTGCTTGTGCATGTGTATGATTATGCAGACTTGGGTGGCCTTGTAAGCATAGGTCTTAAATACTATTATCACCTTAAAAAACGCTAATAGAAAGGAGGGCAGCACTGGCATAGTTTGCTCAGAACTTGAGAGAAGATGAGGGAAATGATACTTAGAGGTCTGGTAATCCCACATAAATGTATTCAACGCCCTCTGTTTTTTTTGTCAAGTGTATGTTAAATGGATAGATAGGGCCTTTTCAAGGCAGGTGTTTAACCTCCATGTTGTCAGGAGCCCAGATACTGGGTAACAACAGAACAGGTGCCAGCAGGATGGGAAGAGGCAGCGATATTTACAAAAACGTGTTGAGGCTTCAGTTGCTGTCTCTGCATGTCACCAGTTACGTTCCTATTTTGGTAATTTTTTTCAATAGACGAGAGTTTTTTCTACTGGTAACAGAATTTAGTGTCGATACAGGATTGATTTCCAAGCAGCAGCTGGAGTTACTAAGCAGATAGGCAGGAGAAGCTACGTACTGTACCAGCAGTAAACAAAGGACTTGGATATGCAGTGAGTTTCCTTGTGGCTTTTGGGTCCTTTCATCAGTTACGCCAGACTGGTGTGTATACGACCATATTTTGTTGAACACCCGAGCAGAAACACCAGACAGATCTGCTCTAGCTACCGCCGCTGTGCTAGGCAAAGCCTGGTCCTTACAGCAGGTTTATTAGTAGAAAGGCTGAAGCTGAGTAAGGAGCTCTCCTAGCTTGCCGGCTCACCTCCCCTGCTGCAAGTCTCTCTTACTTGCCCGTGAGGGCCTTTGCTTGCCTTACAGCAGCACCTAGTGGCCTATCTGTAGGTTACTGCCCAGAAATACTGGAATTTGTCACGTAGTCCAAAACCTGGCTCTCCTACCAGTTTTCCCCCTTCCCTCTTCCCTTCACATCAGGATGGCGTTTACACTTTACGTGGGTCAGTGCGGAAGGTGAGCCAGGGGCTGTCCTTCGCCTTCCTTCGGTGTGATCCATGTTAGAGCAGGTTACAGTAACCTGACAGCCAGGGGAGGCTATGGAGGCAGTATCCTTGTGGTTTCCATCCCTTTGAGAACAAAAGGTTACTCTGCACGCGGTGCCGGTGTATTGCCTGGGGTGTAAATCAGAAGTAAAAAATCTCTCAGTGCAGCTCAGGGTAAACTAGGAGGAGGAAAGAGAAGAAATGGGATGTTGAGGACGTTTTGTTACAGCAGGAAGTGAAACATACGCAATGGCACTATCTGTGCATCCATTCTCTCTGGTAATTATTAACGCTTTGATCAGGTTTGGCCTGGCAGAGGTTAGAAATCCTGGAGATAATAAATTTCCCACCAGTCAGGAGTGTGTGGGGAGCAGCAGGGTTGAAGAAACAAGCTCAAATTAGTGCTTCTGTCAAGCAAAGGCAACAGTATTAACTTTTTTAAAAATAATGGAAACTGACAGGAAAAGTATGGTTGTTCTAACCATAAAATCACCTTCTAGTTACTGGGCACCAGCAATCTGTCCTTTACACACAAAGCTGTAGGAAACTGAACTTTGCACTTCCCACAGCTTGTGGTTCCTGTGCCACAAGGGTGACCGAGCTGTGACCAACCCCAGTGTGCGGCCTTGAGGGCAGCACGAAGGCTTGGCCTCCCTCTTTGCACCCACCTGACCCGGGGGGGGGCAGTGCCCTACGGCATTGGCATTTTGGGGGGCTGAGCTGCAGCAGCCCCGCCGGGGGGTGTCCTCCACTCCAGCATGGTGCTCCTGGGTGGCATGGGTCAGTGTATCCTGACTTGGACCTGGTCTGTGCTGTGCCAGCTCAGGCATGTGTGACATGTTCGCATGGACCTGCCCCTTGGTGGACAGTGGGAGCTGCAAAGCCACGGTCTCTGTTACAGCAGGTGGGCAGAGTTCAGGCAGGCATGGCCCTGCCTCGGGGAGTGGAGAGGTTTCACACAGCTTCCTCATTCACATCACTTCTCCAAAGCAAAGTAGTGCCCTTACATATGGCCTATTCAATAGGCTTTAGTTGCGAAGAAACTGCTTCAGTAGACACCACAAACTAAGCTATGTAAGGCAGTTGGTCAGACCGCAGAAAATTTAAGTTGTATGGGGAGTTGAATCCCAAATTTGCTTCTTCCTGGGAGAATCCCACCAGCAAAGTAGCCTGAAATAACCAGATGAGCGCTCAGACATGCAAGCAGCATCCTTACGTATTTCACACTCATCAGCAGCAAGATAGGTATGCATCCCTGATACAGTCCACACCACTGCTGGGGCACAGACGTCTTAAACAGACCATACAGAAACATGAGAAAAGCAGTAATAAACATTACATCATTATGAACAGTAGCACAAAACATTGGAAAAACAGAAGACAGACATTAAAAATACATTCTTTGTAAGCCTTTGGGTTTGTATGCGCTCACAGTACACTGATAAAACATCCTCCTTGGTGTTTAATAAATACAATGGAAGCATAGATCATAGGGAGGCACTGTTACTGCTTGGTTTTATGGCAGGGAGGAAACAAGTTCAACTGTAGATATGCAAATTGTTGTGTGGTATAGTTCCCTTTGGCCTATGGGTTGCTACACTTGGATTTAGTGTTTTCAGGGGAGTGTGGGTGACAGATTCCTGAGACAAAATGCCACTGGTGCTATTGCAGTGCTTAAGCATCCCAGACAAACAGCTGCAGGAGCACTAGTAGAAACTGCTTGTGCTGTAGGCATGCTTATTCTGTGGTGCTTTGTGCTTACGGGCAACAGATGCTGTTACTAGCTAAATCTCAAGTCTACATTCACTAAGAAATGCTATTGAGATATTTGTTTTGGTACTGAATAAGAGAAAAATCACATTTGCATCAGAATGTTTTAAATAAACTGAAATTTCATGAAAAAAATTAAAAATTGTGATGGAAAATTTTTCGTCTTGTTAGTTTTCCTAAAATCCCACAAAGCTTCCATCTTCTGTTTCCTATAAGCCATGTTACATACCTTACTTTATCCTAACAGTACCTCATACTTCTAGGAGTTACACATGTAAATCTTTTATATTTAGATGTGGCATTTAATGAATGTATCCTATCTGATACAATTTATGCTGCTTGATTAATACATTTTTGGCTAATAAGAAGGGTATGGCTAAGACCTGTGTTAATTTGAACAATCGTTTCTTTGTATTTTGATTTCAGAAGTTACGACTCTTTCTTGCACTCCTTCTCATGAGCACCAGTAAATGGATGCTTAGGTACATTATTTGAGCAATTTTAGGCCTTCCGTACCCTTAACTACTTATTTTTGTGCTGTTAGGTGATTGGGGATTATTTTTCTAATAAGTATTTCTATCACTTAGCAACTGTCAGTGTCTTCAGAAAACCTTTTTTTAGCTTTTAAGTCTTTTTCTTTAGTACAAATTACAGATAGCTGTGTTGATAAACATCACCAATACAAGGTATTTGTGTGTGTAGCCCAGTAATATCAGTTCAGTATTCTGTTGCATAAAACTCTCTTGCAAAGTTTGGAATTATAAAAGAAAGGAAAAAAACCCCAACCCTGGTATTTTTGTCCCGCTTCTTAGGGGATTTTCAAAAGCATTAAAATGGATGCTAAATTATTTTTTCACCTCTAAATTTGATTTAACCTGTCAGGACCATGAAACACTAGATTGCCCTTCTTAAACATTGCTTCTTGTTACTGGTACCTGGTATTTTGTTTTGCTCACTATTTTTCTTAGCTTGAAAGAAGCACCTTCGAGGTCTTACTCTGCACACTCCTTGTTTCAGATTTCCTCGAGTACTTGCCAGTCTGATGCAACTAATTCTACAGAAGCCTGTCAGAAGTCATCATTATTTCAGTTCGCAGAGGTGAGTTTCTTTAAAAAGGGTTGTCTTCCCCAGTGTTTCCTTTTCAAGAAGCATCTAATGTTCAGCTGAAAGAGAAACCAAAAACCTTGAACTAAAATTCATGCTTTTATTTGTTCCTTCTTTTTGGGTTTATGGTACTGGATCATTTATAAGATAGGTCAGGCTTGAAGCGCAGGAGTGTGTTTAGGAACATGGTGGAAGCCATAAGTGCAATAATGGAGCTGTGGTTTAATCAGTAATTTAGAAATGTGTTATTCCTGCACTTAGTTTTAAACTAGAGTCTTACTAACTAAAATTTGAACGTGTATTTGAATGTTACATTATTTCCTTTATTTGTTATGGCTGCTTTAGTCGTTGACTACATCAAAAATAATTGGAATTTTCAAAATTTTCTTACGTTCTATAACCACCAAATAGCTCTATGCAACTATGTTTGTTTTTCTATGTACAATATTTTTGTCAACATATTTACAGGTATTGCTAGAAGTGCAGTTGTGGTGGTTGATTTGCTTATTTAATGTGTGCACTATTTCATCCAAATTTTAATGGATTTCATTGACATAAATAACACAAGAATGAGGTTGCAAGGAATCCTGGTCCTTTGTAAGCATCACTTGCTTGTTGGTATCCTTACAACTTTTGAAATGGTCATAATCAAGTGACACAAATATTTAGCTGTGTAAGTATTGATTGTACAGAGCACTGGGTGGTGTTTGAGTACATGCACATGAAATTTTGTCATAGCAGGGGGTTCTTTTTACTACCTGTTTTCATACCAACTGTGAATCTGACTCATGTGTCTTTAATACTTATTGCTATATGCACCTTCATATTCCTCCCTAAACATTGTCATTTAGGGAGCAGATATATTGCAATCCTAGCACACAGAAAACACTGGGGGTTTTGTTTTGTATTGGTTTTTGTTTGTTTGTTTTAACATCAGCCCAGAAGACCTTGAGTTCCAACTTAAGATCTGAGGCTTTCAAAATGTATTAGAAATAAACTAGAGCACATACTTTATTTCTGATTAAAGGTATTGGCCAGACTGAAGCAGGTAACATGTAATTAGACTCTTCAACAGCCTGCTGGCTTTTATTGTTAGGAGAAAATTGTGCCAGCAATGGAAAGCAATACTTAGAAAGTTTCTAAAATCCATTATTTGCAATGTCACTTATGATGCATCTGTGGTGGTAGTTCAACATCTGTCTTCCAGTATTTCTCAGATGCTTTTGTATACTTCTGCTGTCAGAAGTTTTTCTGTACTTCTGTTTTGTATACTTCTACTGTCATTGCTGCTGAGCAATGTCATACTTTGTATAGTTCCTCTTGAGAATGGTCTGTTGCTTGAATTTCACTGCTAAGTCTTTTAAAGACAAATACCAGCTCACTTAATTGTTTCAGTTCATTTTATAGTGCCCAAGCAGGAAAGTGACAGAGCCATATGGTAGTAGACTGGAATTGTGTTGTGTGCTGCAAGATATGCTCTTGCTAAGGGCTTGTGACTGTTGACTTTCCCTTACCCATGGAAGAAGAACTTCAGTGGGTGCCAGGAAACAAGCTCATCTGCACTGCTAAAACATGCGGTTTAAAAGTAGCTCACTGATGATCAGTAATTAGAAATGCGTATTAGCTAGTCTTACTTTTCAAGGATGTTAAACAGCCTGTAGTGAAGCTGCACCTAACCAGTGCATGGTAGGTATGTGTGTCAGTGGCAAAATAATTGGTACTTGTACCAAGGTCTAACATTAATCAGAGGTGTCATTTGCAACAAAAATAATTGACACTAAGTTACCTTAGTGTCTGGGATAGATCTGATATCTCAGAGTACCTGCACGCATTTTACCCCTGTCCACACTTACCTTCTGTGCGAAGTAGCAATTTGTGCTCTCAGCAATGCCATCTGCAGCCTTAGGTCTTCCACTCAACTGTGATATGCAATACAATGTTAAGTTTTTGTTGCTAACCCTGTTTTGACATATCAACGGGCAAATAAAAACCCTTCAAAAGAGTCTTAGCCTGTTCTGTTAATCCTAGGAAAGATTTTCCTTGTGAAAAACAATTCAACATCAGCATTTCACAGATCACCCATCTATTTGTCTGCTGGAAAACAGATACTGTTATTTGTATGGGTGTGTTGGGACTCGTTTGCATGCTCTTAGGTACCAGGAGTCTTTCTGTATGATGGATCAGAAATTTAGCACGTTGAAGTCCGATACTGAAACTGAGGAGTTGGGTAATACATGCATATTTGTTTCCCTGACAGATCTCTTCAAGCACATCACAGCCCGGAGTCCCAGGAGCTGTAAGACAAACTGAGGAGTCTGCATTGTTTCAGTTTGCTGAGGTATAATGGCTGAAATATGGTGGGGAAGGTTGGGGGGGAAGCAAGGAACCAATAAGAGTTGTCACTGAATGGCTAAGCATCGTGTTTTATAAGGGATTCCCATCAGTTGATGTTTATCTTCATGGCAGCATTGTGTTAAGGAAATTGTGGGGGGAATAACCAGTGACTGGACAAGATGTTGGCCAGTTCTACCAGCTGTAGCATACACAAAAGATACTGGGCTTGTCAACATTACCTGGCCTTTCATATCAAAGGACTATGCAGACGTATTTTTCAAATGGCCTTTTAATTTACATCTAGGAGAACAACAACGAAAAGACATTCTGAAATGACACTGTGCACTGCCTATGGGAAAAAGCTGCAGCAGTGTGAAGTGGCAACTGCCCTAGAGGCAGGAATCCTTTGAAAATAACCTTGCAGGTCAAAGGAAGCTTATCACAACAGCTACAAAGATATGTAACAGCATCGTTAGGTGGTGACTTACAAAGCCTATAAATTACCCATAAGTATGTAAGCTATCCTTCTTCCTCCATATATTGAAGATACGGAGTTCTTAAAGATTGCTTTTAAGAATTTCTTCTCCCATGTGTTTAATGTGCCTCATGAATTGACTTTCCACAGACACTCTTCTTGCCCATTTGGGGGAGTCTGGTACTGCTTGCAGAATCGGTTATGCTAAAGTATATTCAGGGTGTGTCTGAAAAGACTGGGATTGGAGCTGGTGCTTTTGTGGAGGAGCACAATGGGATGAAAAGATACCCCTGTTTGTTATTCTGCATGCTTACGGAAGTCTGATTACATGCAGAATGCTTCTTTCTGTTAAATGTTTTCTGCTAATTGTGTACTGTGTGTTTTTAGCTTGGCTGGGATGGGTCTTGATGTATTTCTTAGGAGGCCCAATTAAGAAAACAGAGTTTACTGATTCAGGTGCTATAAAATACCTGACTACAGACTCCCCTATAAAAGATACGATAGAGTTAACATCTCTAATCATGAAAATGCTTTTGTATGTGCCACCTTTTTTTAAAGTTACAAGTTAGTTTGGGAAGTTCTTTTGAGAAAATTAGTAGAATTGAGCAGGATAGAGCCATGTGCTATAGCCAACCTTTTAAGCCAAGTAAAAGATATAAGCTGGAGAAGATTTCCTGTGAATTTTATTGCAAAATACTGCACGAGTGAATCTGCTAACTTAGTTTCAAAAATATTAGCCATCTTACATTTTAATCAAACAGCAATTTTATGTATTTGCAGAGTTGAACAGAGTACGAATTGCCTTTATTACAGCATTTTTAAATTGCCATGTAGGGCCTGACGTAGCCATACTTTCAAAATTTCACAGAACCTAAAATAATTTCCTCTCTTAATTGAACAAACAACAAAATGACAGACCTGAAAATTGTCATATGGATGTGATGGTGCATTGAGTTACATACCAGTACGCTGAGCCAAATCATTTCCCACATTGGAGTGCATGTATGAATCATCAAATGTTAGGTAGAAAAGGTGCTTTAAAAGTTAGAAACTGATGAGAACAGTTTCAAAGTCAGGGTTAATCACTTTTCTTGTAAAAATATTAAAATGTGCATGCAGTGTATAGGGGTTGAATTTTTTGGTTGTTTTTTCAGTGCCTGAAAATAAGTCACAGGAACCTGGAAAAGCAAAAAACAAACAAACACATCTCTCACCCCACCCCCAAAAAAAGAAACCAACCCTTGTTCGACATGGTTAACTAATATCATGTTTTATCTATAGCAATAGACAAATGGTGGGGTTTTTTTTAAGAGTGCAGCTTGATTTCATTTAGGTTGTTCCAGGGGAAAGTATTGAGCATGCTGCAGAGCCTCTTTAATAAGCTTGCTTCCCCCTGCTATTAAAGCTGCTTGTGCTCTTTCAAGTATAAAGGCTTTCATTTGCACAGTGTGTCTTTGTCAGGTCTGGCAAAAATCCTGTTCCTTACTGTGCCACTTCTTACTGGGTCCTGTCTATATGAACGCATTACTGCATTTAGTAAGCTAAATTTATGGCACACAATTTGCAGTAGACTGCTGTCAGTAATGTACAGTACTACAAAAGAAAAAGTAGGAGAGAAAATAGTTATTCAGCCAGTAGCCAAGCAGACCTGTGAAGAAATGTGGTGTGCTGTGGTCGGATGTGCCTGGAGACTTTTGGCAGCTGTCCCAGCTCAGTTTTGGTTCTGGCTGGGAGTTCTTCATATGTTCCCTTTCTCTTCACCGCCTTTGCAGCAGGGTGAGTAAGAGTGCCTCTTTGTGAAGACAGCAATCCCATTGAGTAGATTTGTCATTTCAAATGGACACCTTTACCCCAGGAGTACAAGTCCCCTGTCATTCAGAAACAGCTCAATATAGAGCTGTAGATGTAGCATGGGATTTCTTTCATCTTTACAGCCTCAGTTAGCCTTTCATCTGGTTGTCTGTCCCAAGTACTGGCTGTATGTGTCAGTTAAAGCTGTTGAGGATATGGCTAATGAGCCCTGCCCAGTGACTTGCCACAACAGGTGATGTAAATCCCAGGAGTAAGACTTTGTTGGGTCCTGTGGATGTGCCAGCAAGCACCTTGAAAGGTCTTCAAAGATGCTGTGACATCCTCCTAAGAGTTTTCTGAAATTCAGAGTGTTGCCAAGTTACACTCTTGGCTTTCTCATTTTGTTCTGATGTTGCAAATACTTGGACCTACTTTTGTCTTTCTCGTTGGTACCTTTATGGAAAGCCATTATGTAGGCCAGTGATTTCTGAGCAGTGGGCTGTGTTCCTTAGCGTGATGGCTGTTTGCAGTCTGTCTGCTCACATGGACTGATTGCTGTCATCCTCCTTGCCATGTGAGGGAAGCAGAGCAGATGGGACCCCTTGCTCTCTTGGTCTTACTGATTGTGTGTTTGGCAAATGCAAACAGATGGTGATGGCTGCTTTGTTGAGAAGAAACAAGAGTACCTCTTAGATTTACTTAGCTAAACTCTCATACATTATTAAACAAAGAAAGTGCTTCCAGAGAGTAGAAGCAATGAAATTGCTAGCTTAACCATTTTAAAAACAAAATGAAGCCAAAATCCCCAAACTCTTCACTTTCAGCTGTTTTTCTGAAGTTTTTCTCTAGGTGTTTCAATCAAAAAAACAATCACTTGCAGCAAGGTGGAATTTTCTTTGCTAATCGAGCAGGTTACTATCATTTAGAAAAATACATGCCTGAGGATGATTTTATCCCTGCTGCATTCTGACATAGTCACTTTGAGCAGGCCTGCAGGCAACCCTCTCTATTTCTGTGCTGAACAGAAGGTTTGAATCTAAAACTTTTGGTCAAAATGCCTTGAAATTGGGAGTGTGAGAGCTAGCCAGTATCTTCTCTTCCAGCTTTCCCTTAGGTAAAACTGTAATCTTCCCAGGTAAAGCCATTACAGAAAATAGACAAATGTATTTGCTGTTTGCCTATATACTGAAATTATTAAATATCTACATTGAAGTGAAATGCCTATTCTAGGAGGGAAATTAAAAAGTGGTACCGTGGCACATGCTTCTTACGCAAACTAGAATGTAGTATAGTAGCTAAAATGCTGATCTGCATTGTAATAAAAGGTAACAACTTGATCCTAATGATCCCCAAGTTAAACCTCTAGATAAGTAGCAGTTTGTGCTTGTAGTACTGCAGGTTCTGATTATTCTAATTAAAATTGGAAGCTGGTGTTAAGACAGGAATGAGATCTGTAATCTCAGTGAGAGCTGATTGATTAGCCATCCTCTTACTTCTGAAGTTTGGCCAGCAACTTTGGCAGAACGAGTTCTGTATTTATGCCTCTCGCAGTTTGTTTTCTTGACTAAGAAGACAATTATTTTTTTTTTACTTAAGTGAAATGTTGACTTCCTCTCTATTTCTATTACAGGAATCTCACTTGCATTTTGTTAGGAGCACCCATCCTCTTGTCAAAATAAAATTCTTGACCTTTCCCTCACGTTGTACATCAGGAGGCAAGATATGCCTGCATGTTCTTAGGTTATGCTTCACTGGGAAGGGGGTCTGTCCCTTTTCTGCCATTCATACTGCACTGAAAAAAGCATTAAGAGCTGAGAATTTATTATGGTGGAAGTACAAAAAAGTTGATACCGTCTTCCTGCAAAGTGCAGTATACAAGATCACTTGCTCCAGTGGGGTCCTGAGCAGGTTCACTGAACTGTCTCAAACCAAAACTAGGATTTTGAATTATTTTAGTCTAATATTAAAAATTGTTATTAATGCACACTCAGGTATTATTCACTGTATTTTAAATAGTTTTCACTAAAATGAATGTCCTGGAGTTTGGTGGGGGAGCAGGGGGAGGTGTGTGTAACGATTCTTCTTGACAATTGAAAAGTAAACTCTTCAAATAAACTAGTTCAAAAGAATGACATGAAATACAAAGAGAAGGTCTAAGATGCTAGTTTTTGCATCTGAAAGATCATGGTCATAGCATGATTTTTGTGATGAGGTGTGAGGTGCCACAGAAACATTGGTGGTCTTGCCCCTAATGTTAAGGCTTTCAGTGACTTCCAGGTCAAGTACTACTTTGTAACGCTATGCCAAAAAAGGTCATATATGAGAACTAATGATTAATTCTTGTGTTGGTGAACTCATAGTGCTGCTCTTGGAAACAGGTCAGAAAAAATATGGCTGTAAAAGCAAATTCCCTGAAGTGCAGTGACAGTTATTTACTAAGCACTGGTGCCGGCACACCAACATCTTTGTAGAAGGTTAGATTTGATCTTCAGCTGTAAGGTCTTACTTCTTTTTTCTAACTAAAGAAAATGAAACAATCATTGCCTGTAAGGGCAAATGGTCCTCTTCTATATCTAACCAAATGGGAAATACTGCCCAGGTTTTCCAGAAGAATTTTATTTAACCTTGACCACCACAGTTCATGTTTTTAAGCAACAGGTATGTCTTGTTCTCTTAGTCAGATAAAGCAGATGACTTGATAGAGTATTAGCTGTGGGCAATATAAATGTCAGAGAGAATCGATGAGCCTAATCTAATGAAAAAGTTCTGTATTTGCTTGGATCCCGCTGACTTCTAAATGCCTGTTAAGTGTTGTTGGATGGGACAGCCTATCTGAAGTAGGGCCTTCTGTCAGAAAGATCTAAAAGGAATTGTTTTCACTAATTCATTTTTTCCATTCTTTTTCTCCCTTCCTTTCTCTTTCCTGTGTGGCACTGAAATATTTTCTCCTCTGTTCATTTAAAACCTAGATCTCATCAAATACTTCCCAGTTGTCAAGTCCTGAGCCAATAAAGTACTGTGGGAAGTCGGCACTCTTCCAGTTGGCAGAGGTAAAGTTACACCCATTAGTGTCACAATAGGAAGATGTGTGTATCTTTTCCCAAAAAAACTATGAACTGTGTAAGGTTTCATATTTTCAGAAACATAAGTCAGGAAAAAATGGAATAGCAAGAGACTTAGGCACTGGTAGTGGCCCCAGGGACCTAGCTTTTCTTTATACAATTGTTAATGTGCATAGTTCCTTGGAGACTGCACAGAAGTTACACTTTTTAGAATAATCACCCTTATAATAAAAACAGCGCTCAGGAGGCAAGGGTGTTCTTCATATGTTCCCTTCATATGTATCCAGTGAGGAGCTGGATACCAGGATTCACAGAATAAAGCTTTGCTTATAAGGACTGGAAAGTTCATTGCTGAATCGGAGATGAAGAATAAGAAAAATAAGAAGAGAAAAGTAGACTTTGACATAATCAGGAATCTGTATGAAGATTTGGAAGTTGAAGCAGTGTATTAAGTTCTGAAATCGGCAGCTGTCAGCAGTAATCCAGAATACTAGATCAGGTTTCCCAGAAGTACTAGAAATTCTCTGTGAGTCTTAAATATGACCTTGTAGAGGATTTGCTCTTTGATATGGATTAACCACTCAAAAAATTTTGAGGATTGGTGTGCAAATACTATTCTTCTTGGTCACTGAAAGATACATGCTGCATTCCAGGTAAATAAGGGAGGATGCTAACACCTTAACTCGTACACTTTTTTTTTGCTTGGTGGGTTGTTTTTATTGTTTTTCTGTTTGGCTGGTTGATATGTTTTCTTCTTTCAAAATCACATCCTATTTCAGTGAGGAAAATTGTTCTCTGGATCCCATCTAGTGGCATCCAGCCATATATTCTTGCTGGTGAGGTTAATCCCTTTTGGGAGAAAAAAAGACAGGGATTGAAAGCACTGAAATAAAAGTATTTCATGCCTTGACCCATGAATAGTAATGCTACTGTTGGACTTTATAGGAACTTATATGAGTGAATGAGAGCCTGCCTTACCTACAGGCAGTTCATGGCAGTAGTAAGAGTTTGTGGATGTGTGCTATGTGGTCAGCAGTGCCTGTGCAAGGGTGATTACACCTAATGGTGATTAGTGACCATAAGGGTATTTGACTGTTGCAGCCCTGGGACAGCAGAAAGGCTGGTAACTTTTAGTCAGGGACACCAGAAGTTTTTGAGGTGTCCTCTTACAGGACAGCAGCAGGCTCTGAATAGTGCCATTCTGGAGTAAGGCTCTTGCTGAGTGCAGCCTGAATTTTAGAAGTCAGCATTAAAAATTGCGATGTGACTGTGAAGCTTGTGAAGCCCTAATTTGGGCGAAGGACAGGTGCTTGTCCACAGGAGCACAGAGATTGTATTGCAGTTGGCGGAAAAAGTGAAGCTAAGTCTAGCAGCGTGCCATTTGCATCTTGGACAGGTTTCTGTGATCTGCCTCTCAGTGACTGCTCAAATGGATTCTTGCAAGCCTGATTTAGTATACAAAATGAATGTTAAAGGCTCTGCTTCAAACTGAGAAAAGCATGGCAGATGTGCTAAGATCATCCTCCTTGTCTTGACATTAGTGCTATTGATTTTTTTTTTTTTTTTCCCCCAGTTTTGGAGATCTCTGTAGTGTTGGACTGTAATTGGATAAATAAAATCTTAGAGATTCAGGTTAAGTTTTCAGGTAGCAGTTCAGGACCTGGTTTGGAGCATCTCAAATAAAGTGTTTGTTATGAACTCAAGGGTGTCTTAGGTTTGCAAGTTTATTTGGTAGACATCTGTGCTACGCTGTTGTAACTCCAAACCACAGATGCTGTACGCTGGAGGGGACTGGGCTGCTGTCTCCATGCTGCTGGCATGGCAGTGCTCTGGTGTGTGGGAGCCTGTCTGCTTCAGCACACCACACTGCACTGCTCCTCCTTCGTCTCTGCTATGTGCATCAACCAATGTTATCTTCTTCCCTCCCCCTCTTTGCCCCGTGCCTTCTTTTTTGATATTTCACAGATGGTGATAAAATAAAATGCAGAAGTGGGTTAAATTATTTTCTAAAATACTCTGAGAATTTCTAAGTTTCTGAAAACATTTGGAGCAGCCGCTCTGCAGTTGGAAGCCTGGGAGGCTGTTGCTGATCAGCTCTGCTGAGTCTCTTGCTGTCCTAAATGCATGGTTGGTCTTTAGCCTTCAGTGTGGGGACATGGGAGTGCAGGGAGGCTGTAGTGGGGCTGTGCCTCACTTCCACAAGGCAAGGAGGCCACTTCTGCCACAGAGTGCTGACAGCGCTTGGCTGTAAGCAACGTCAGAGCTTGGGAGATGCTGTGAAGAGCTGCATCTTCCAGGAGACATAGCAATAGCATTGTTAACATTTTTTCTTTATTTCCTTTATGGCAGTGATGGGTTGATTTCGGCAAAATCAACTTTGTGGACCGTTGTTGGTGGAGAGCAACAGAAACTGAGTTTGGGGGGATAGGGGGAGCTAAAAGGTTGTAAACACTTTAGTTCCCCAGTCCCTAGAACTCCACCTCTTTCTAAGGAAGGAAGTATAAGAAACGTGCAAGCCTCATCAGAGGTTATGAGATATGTCCTCATTTTCTTCTTCATACTAATGGTCAGTGATGAGGCTGATGTTTTTGATTTGTTTAGGAAAAGGTAATTACTTTGCACCTAGCTCAAAACTGATCCAAAACACTCTGGAGTATTGAAGAGGATCATGGCCTGATACAAGAAAAAATTCTGGAGAATAATAATCCACCTGCTTGCCAGACAGAACCTCATACTCTGAGGAGTAGTAAGGGTTACCAAAGGCTTGAGGGCAGCTTCTACTTCACATTCATAGCATCTCTGAGAGTCCTGTAGGACACCCAGAGGCAGTGTCATACACAGCCTGACAGGAGTAACCTTCTTAAGCTATGACAGTGAAACGATTTTGCAATCACATGTCCAACTAAGCCTTCAAGAACACCACCAGCAGGATTGCATGCTGCTGTAAATTGGTGCTTAGCTGCTGGAGTCTGTTCATGTGTGAGAGAGTGTGTGCTTCCATTCATCCTACTCTTCAAAGGGAGTCCTGACAAGAGTATGCCCAAATCTGTAGATACTTTTTAGTGTCCAGTGGTATTATCCACCGGAGCAACGGTGGAGCGGGGTTTTATTTATAACAGCACACACAGGTCTGCACTACTTTTTCAAATTATAATCTTATGAATGAATTTTGGGAAGAGGGAGGAAACAGTCCGTTCAAAAGATGTGTGGTAAACATAAAACAACTGTACTGATAATGTTGTTGGTTTTTCTCCCCCTCTGTCTTTAGATTTCTTCAAGTACATCCCATTCAGGTCCTTCTGATTTAACAAAACAGTGTGGAACATCAGCATTATTTCAGCTGGCAGAGGTAATATTAAAACACTGGTGACTAATTACCACAGGTGCAGTGGGGCAGAGAAATTAATGATGTTGTTTGCCAAAGTCTGGAAGGTGGAATAGTGCTACAGTTAAAATTACTTTGTTGCTTATAGAAGCATAAAGTTTGGTGGCTTGGATGCTGCAGGTCAAGATTTCCCCCGACTAGCCATCAGCTTGGAGGTTTCCAAGAGTCTGTGCTGCAGCTGAGAAGTCCCAGTCCCTGGTAGCAAAGGGTCTTTCCAGTCTCCATTGAAAATGTTTCAATTCCTTCTTTAGGGTTTGATATTTTGAGTGTTTGGTTTGGCTAGGAGGGTGCAAAGAGTTGAGAAGAGAGGGCTGGATTAGCCTGTTACTCAAATTAGGGCATTGCCATTACAAATTCATGTTAAAATGTCATTAGTTGCTTTCATTTATTTTTGCTTTTCATGTCTACTGTTTTCTTGAAATGGAGAATAAACAGATCAATAACTTCTGTAGAAATTGTTCTGTGATGCTCTCAACAGATCCTCCTTCTGGGAACAGTTAAAATCAAAGGCCTCTTAGTGAAATGTTGTATTTCTTTTGTTTCTAAGCCTTTTTTTTTTTTTTGAGTTTTCCTAATCTTAGACTATGAATTGCAAGTTTATTTAGAGCTAACAAAACAGAAATTGCTTTTTTGTAGCCATATCTGTAGCCCTCTGTACTATTGGCTAGTTCAGAAGCAGCAAAGGTAAAAAGAAAAAAGAATTGGGGGGGGAGAGTGTTGAACTGACAAAATACTATTGCTGTCAAATAAGTTGCATTTTAAAGATTGATCTTTAGCTCTTGAAAAATTACATTGCAGTGTAGTAAAAAAGTCACAGAAGTACCTTGGTACCAAGAATCCACTTCAGCATAGTTGTGGGATTCTCTTCTTCATAATGTAACTGCTTGCTAATAGACACAGTGCTGCCTAAGCTCCGGTGTTTCTAATGCTGAACTTAGCTTGACCTGAACCAGATCAGGAGTTTCTACCCTATGCAGCAGGAATTTCGGAAACTTACTACAACATATTCAATCATTGGTGTTATGCTCATACATATATTGGTGTAAGAGATATTTTTAGTGAACAAGGAAAAAATGCCTTGCCAATTTCAGAAATCTAAAATTGACCTGTAGAGAACCCAGTCATCTGGAGGGTACATCCATACTGACCACATGGCCTGTGGGCTGAGCTGCAGAATAGGGAAACTACTGATGTTTGTTCAGAGCAAGCCTCCTACATCTGGTTTTGCTCCAGGTGGCTGTCTGGTTGACATTTGTTTTTGAAATAGCACTTGGAATTCAGCTTGGGGTCTTTGAAAGGGAGAGTAAGAAGAAGAAAGCATGTCTTCCCAAGGGCAGCTGCTTGGTGCTGTGAAGGACTACCTTCTGTAGCAGTCAGCGTAGCTTACAGGTGATCCAGAAACGAGAGGATCTCCCAAGTCAGTGCTGCAGGAACATGGCAGTTTGAGGACCTTTTTACAGCTCTTTTTTTGAATATTGCTGTTCCTCAGACAGTATGAGGGTTTTGGTTTCCATTAATGTTATCTCCAGGAGGAAATAACCATGGCAACCACTGCTGCTTTGCAGTTCTTTGCAAAATAAGTCTGTGACAAGAAGAAAGATTTGGAAGGCTTTTTTAGTACCTTCCAAATTACTTTGCACATTCAAGTAAAAGAAAATAATCTCAGTTACTGAGATTCAATTAACTTTTTTTTTTTCCCCCTCCTTCAGGACCATTTGGAAAATGGAGGAATAAGAACTGTATATAGGGACATATGGGAGTTGAAGGGGGTATGGATGTGAGATTTCAAGTAACCTGTCTGTCACAATAGTGAGAGATACTGTATTGTTCTGTTGCATTTAGGGTATTCTGAAAATCAGTCTAGCAGTGAGTTTTCAGGTTACATAAAAGGCATTCAAAGGATTGTGGAAACACTATGGAGATCAGCTGGAGTCTTTTTCTGTTAGAGCGGTAGAACCCAGTAGCCTTATTCTAGCACTTAGCTATCATCATGTCACATCAGTTTCAGTAGGGCTTCGGAGTGTTTTTCAGCACTGTCCTTTAGCATAGTTTGCTTCTCTGAGCTAAGATGCCAGAGAGATTGCCTCTGTAATGCTCCTGTTAATGTAGGTAAGTAATGTTAACAATTGATGTTTGTTTCATGGGACTATTCTTAAACTTGTTTTAGATGTGCCTTGCTTCGGAAGGAGTAAAAATGAAAGAACCTGGGAAAACAAAAGTGGAAGCACCAGAAGATGTGAGAGACGAAGTTCTAGAGGAAATGGAAGTAGACCTGGAGCAAAAACCAGTGAAAGACTCCTGTAAAGGAAAACTAGAACAATCAGAGACAGAGCAAATGCAAAACCGGAACGAGACAAAAGCTGAGGAATCACAAACTGTAAAATGCAGAGATTTTACTAGTCTTGCAATGGAGAACAGTCCTTTTGAGAGAAATGATAACACAAAGGATCACATGTGCTGTTCTCCAGAGCTTTCAATTGCTGACATGAATATCCTTGGGCTAAAACCAGAAAAGATAAAGAAGAAAAAGAAAAAAAATAAGTTAGACCGGCACACAAATGAAAAATCCACCCCCAAGAAACCTTGTAAAAAGAGACAGTCTTCAGAGTCGGACATTGAAAGCGTAATGTATACAATTGAAGCCGTTGCAAAGGGGGACTGGGGTGCTGAGAGACTCGCGGAGCCTCCCCGCAAAAAAACTCGCCCTGTCTCAAATGCGAAGGGAAGCGTGTTGGATACAAAATCACCAAAGAAAAAAGTGAAATCGAAAGAGAAGAAAACATCAAAGGAGAAACCCACGGAGACCACCAAAGAATCAAAGCCTCCTGATTTCCTTAGTATTGCAGCCAGCAAGGAAGTACCGTGTGAGGCTTCTGATAACATTAAAGTGGAACCACTGACCCCAACAGAGGAGGTGGTACCCCAGAACTTACCAGGACAGGTCAAAACTGAGGACAGTGACTGTGTTAAAAAGATAGAAACCTGTGGCTCCAGGAAATCAGAGAGATCTTGCAAAGGTGCTCTTTATAAAACTCTGGTGTCAGAGGGCATGCTCACATCTCTGCGTGCTAACGTGGACAGAGGTGGGTGGCTTTGAGTGTTTCATTTACAGCATGAACCACAAAAGCCTGCCTGGAGTGGGAGGAAAAGCAAAAGTCTGTGTTTAAGCTGGAGTTTGAACAGTGTGTGATGGGAATGCTGTGTCTGGTCACCTGAGATGCTGGGGACAGGTGGAGGGGATGGAGTCCATGGTCTAGGGCAGTTCTTCCGGAGGCTGTGTTCCTACTTGCCCCACAAACTCTTAACCTCTCCCTTTCTGTCTTTCGTGATCCAAGATTAAGATTTCTGACCAAAGGCTTTGTTGGTTAATTTGTCAGCCTGATGATAGATGTATGCAGAATTTGTGTTGTGTGTAACCCTGAACAATTAGCTTGTTTCTGTATAAACAACTCCTGTGGTTGTGAGCATAGTTCTCAGTCCTACAAGAGACAGATCTATTGTGCTTTTGCTGTGGTTGTTAGTTTTGCTGTAGGTGGTGGGCGAGAACCCTTTACGTTGTAGAAGGATAAATTAGAGGTAATTCCTGGAAGCTTCCAGTAAGATATCTTGAAATGGATTTTTCCAATTAGTAGATTTATATGTGTGATTAGAACAGTCAGAAAAGAAAAGATGCTTGTAATTTACGGTAGTTTATTACTGTAAACCTGCTCATCTTTTTCTCCTCTTTTATACCTTGAGAGATCCTGACTTTAGAGGTAGTATAAAAAACCAGAGGGGGAAGTGGAAAGGAAATAGTTGCCAGTATCATCAATATCCAGTTTAAAATAAATAAATAAATATTTTGTAACACCTTCTAGAAGGTCAAGCATTTTAAGTTGCAGTGCTGAATGGGTACACAAGTTCCTTCTGAGCCCACTTTGTTTTGGCACATTTTTCTAAAGGTAAGAAACAATTTTCTGCCTTCATCCCAGGAAAAAGAAGCTCAGGAAAAGGCAACTCCTCAGACCATGAAGGATGCTGGAATGAAGAAAACTGGGCTTTTTCCCAAAGTGGGACAAGTGGGAACAAAAAACTGAAAAAGCCTAAGCCAAAGGAAGAGTTTGTTTTCGGGTAAGTTACAGCTTAACACTGTTCAGAGTTTGATTTAGGTCAGCCTGGTAATTTAAGTGAGTCGTCCTCACTGCAGCTGAGTGAACTGCATCCAACACCCAAACAATCACAATTAGAGAGAATTCCTGAAAATTACAAACCCCACTGGGCTGGCTGAGTCATCCTCCAGGTACCTGTTGTCTATATACTAAAGTAATTCCTTTGAGATCTTTCCTGGTTTACACTACTATAAACAGATTTAGGTAACATTTTTTGCTCACTTCTAAAACCACATGCAATATTTACCCACTCAAGAGATGGCGAAGACGTTTACTTTTATTTCCAGAGCGCTTTGCAAGCAGTATTTGAAGTTCTGTGTAGGTGTTCAGTCATCATGAACGGAATTAGAATAGAAAGAAAGATGTCTCTGCCTGCTTGGAGAGATTGCTTACAGAGGAAGAGTAAACAATGTTCTAATATTGGCAAATAATTATAATAAATACATCATTTTTCCATTGTAGAGACAAGATATTTAAACTGTTCATGTACACCGTGAAGAAATTAAATACATTGGAAGAATAATTAATGTTTCCAAATGCATTAAAATTTAGCAAGGCTACCAGAATTACTTCTCTAGTATATGAATAACAATTTTTTGTCAGATTTATTTAACTGCAGGCATAGTGGTTAAATCTGCTTAGCCATTCATACTTATTTGTAAAGTCTTGAAGACTTCCAATTATCTGAATTCAGAGGGTGAAAATTAATTAAAGAGGAGTAGATTTTCCACACATCATGCTTAAAATTGTAATACGTTTTTTTTTTGTGCAGGCCTTTTTTTATAACCTAGTTTATGTGAAATTTAGCTGCAGCTCACTTTACAGCAAAAATATTAAACTGATTAAAATCTCTTAAGTCTTGTTTGCTTGGAATAGTGAAGAGAAATTAATGTAATACTTTCAGTATTTTTAGTGCATTGTATCTAAGTTTTGTAATTTTTTTTTAAATTTGAACTGAAAGATTAAAACACTTCACACCTAATGGTGTGAAAAGTACATGCATCTCCTAACCAAAATAAAAAAAGTAGTTACAAATTATTTATTCAAAGTAGCTAGGAAAATTATGTTAATAATTAATTCATTAAACAAATACTACCATTCTTAGCTGGCTGGATGTGGAAATTACATATTTGCCAATCTTGCTTCTTGATTCAGTCACATCATTAATGACTATTACTTACTGGAATTGGTAATTTGTGGAGCGTAAGTGCTAGAGCAGGTATCTGTTATCCCTGTTCATTGCACTACTTGATCTTCTGGCTACTTGAAGAGCTGCTCTTGCCTCTACCTGCTCCTCTTAGCTCTTTCCTGCTCCCTTCAGCATCACCTTTCAGCCTCATTTTGATTGTGTAGGGGGGAGGATCCTCACCCCTTGGGCATTATGTCTTTCTCCCTGTGTCCTCTTACCTTCTCCAGCAGCAGTTGCACACACTTCCCCGATGGTCCCTGGCAGGTGTGCTTTGCCCATGTGCAGCCCACTCCTTAGCCAAGCAGTGCTCTGCCTGTGTGTATCTCCTAAGCTGTACAGCATGAAGACTTCAGCTCAGCTATGTGTGTCTAACCAGGCTTGTGAGATGCTCTGAAAATTCATGACAATGTGAATGATCTTTTTTTTTTTTTTTTATTAATAATTAATCACTGACATAGTGATAGCAGCACTCTCCACTGCCTCTGTGTCACACAAGCTGTAAATTACTAGCCAGGATGGCAGCTCATCTGCTTTCAGGGTTGGGCCTCCCTAATTAGAGCTGCAGCCCCTCATATGCCCTTGGGACAGGCAGCCACAGTCAGTGGGAGAGTTGCCGGGGCAGAGGATGGAATTGTATGACAGCTGTCAGAGCAGAAAATCAGCTTGCTTTGTGGTTGTCAGGGACATCCGCGTGGAAGAGAAAGGTAGCAGTACTGAGCACCTCTAATGTCAGATAGTTCTGTGATTTCAAAACAAAGCATGTGCACACACACGCAGAAGTAAAACAAACAAACAAGCCCCACCATGCATGCAGTCTGCCAAGAGTCAAGACTGTATTTTAAGATGGGAGATTGCTTACAGAAAGAAGTAGTGATTATAGAGATAAAATGAAGTACTGTTCTGAAAACCAAAGCTTTCAGAATGCAATTTGTTTGAAGTGATGCTTCAAGAGAGCAGAGAGAAATGCCATGTTTCTTGTGATGTTTCCAGGTGTACAGTGTGTAAGGGCCATCCCTCCAACAGTCATGGCAACTTTTGTTGAGTTCAGGTTTTCTGTAGCAAACAGAATTAAGGACAAGTAGAAAATGTCATCGTTCCCTTGTCATTGACAGTACTATTTATAATCTGCCTAGCTGTGCACACTGCGTTTTATTAAAATACCATTTCTTTCTATTCTCCTGCCTGACTGCAAAAATTTACCAAAACAGAGTGCTTATGGAAGCCAGCATAGTCATTACAGCCAGGATATGCCATGCAATACCATCCTGTTTGTGTAGTTTGTTTTCATCTGGCTGTTAGGAACAACAGAACCATATTTCTGGATTTCTTGAGTTGTAGGTAATCTAGTTACAGTCATTCAGGTTGGGCTTGAAGTATGAGGGATATTGTGTTTCATTAAAGTATCAGCTGGTTGTATTTTTCATCTCTCAACAAATAAAATATGCCAGGAGAAAATAAAATCTCCCAGAACAAATACAAAGCTAATTCCCACCCCAAAGCATCAGGTTTTAGAAAGATTGAATAGCTTGACATTTTTCTTCTGGTTTGAATTGTTGCTGTTTTCATTCTGGTGCAAGGACTTTTATGTGAAGTTATCTTCTTAGTTTGTTTATTTATTGTCATTTTATTGTCATTTTTCATTCCCCTCACAGAACAGATAAACCTCCTTTACAAATCTGTGCAGCAAACAGAGCTAACTGTCACCACTATTTTTTTTTTTTTTTTTTTTTTCTAATTTTAATATATGCAGCTAATGTAATCAATTTGTACTGAGTTACAAATGCAGAAGCTGGAGTGTACATTCTCATCCCAAAGATGGATTAATATATACTAGTTTGATGTTTATAGTGTGTGTGCTCTTACCTCTTTCCCCCTCTCTGTGTAGGTAGATATGTGTATACACACACATATGCTCCTAAACAATTAAATTTTTTTCTCCAGAAACAGAGTTACATTTAATTTGATTGGTTTTGTTTCCCCTTTAGCTTAGCAAAGTTGGAAGAAGAATTTGAAAAGAAATTCAACAGCCTTCCTCAATACAGTCCCATTACCTTTGACAGGAAAAATTCAGCTGTTCCGAGGAAAAAGAGGAAGGTTGGAAGCAGCTCATCTGAACAACCAAAATCCAGCAAAGGTAAATTACCACGTGCAATACATTCTTATGCAACAACAGTGCTACACCAACCTCAGGAATTTATACATTCTTGCTTTATTGTTATATGTGAAAAGTGTGAAGAAAACATTTTTCTGTCACTGGAATTAGTTGGTTCTCACCTGGGTTAGATTTCAGACTGTACTCTTGACCTTCATTCTGAGTAGAACTGGTTAAAGTTTGTATGTGAAATTTATTCCTTGTAGCGAGCAGATTTATTAAAAACATGAATATTTGTGGGGTAAGTGAATTTGACAAGTTTTCCCATGAGAAAATGGGGAAGAAATGGCAGGTGATCAAAAGGTTACATTTTGACATTTTTCAAAATGTAGTTTTATGCCAGTTTGTATTTCACTGCAATTTTAGGCTCTATAAATTAAAACATAAGCTACTTTAAGATGCCTGAATTAAACATCTGGATTTTTTTTTATATTGAGATGTTAACAATCTATCATAACTTTGGAGCAAAAATGTCCTGACATGATAAAAAAGGGTTAGAGGACAGGAAAACTGATTCCATACCCAGATCCATTGCTGAGGCTCTTGGAGGGAGAAACTCATGACACATTTGGCTGTTTTATATTCAGACAACCTGTGACACAGAAGTAGTAGAGAAGTGAGAATGTCGTAGGGAGATAACTACTTTTAGATTGTGGCAGAAATACTGATGTATATATACAGTACAGAAGCATAACAAAATGAAGGAATGACATACCAGTCATTCTGCAAGACAAAAGGATCCTCATTATGCACAGTTCACAATGTGAAGCTTGTTTCCTTTCCTGCTACTGTGGTAGTTCCACTGACTGGCAGGTTTTCAGGTCTAATATGGCTGTTTTAGCCAGGTGACCCTGAGTTAGATCTATGCTTTTTGAATGCTTCACAAATAATCACATTACAATATGCAGGATTGAGCAGCTGTTCTTTTCTAGTACATGCCAGTTTTGGTATTGATTTTTGTATTTATATAATTAGATGTGGAACAGTCACTTTTGCAAAATTAGACTTGTGCTAATAACAAGTGAGTTCTGACTTCAAATGCATTTTATTTTTTATGTATTTGACAGAACTTCTTCAATGAGCATGAATGAATTGCTTTACAGTATGATAATACAGTGGTTAATTAAGCAACATCTGTTGGGAACAAGATCTCCTCATCTACTGTGGTCTGGCAATTGAAGCTGTAATAATAGCTCCTTGGATTTCTCTCTACAGTATTTACCTGTTCAAGTGTCTGTACGTCTAAAAATTTTGCAAGGCCCTATGTTGTTTGGGAATGTCACACTAGAATGCTGCCTCTAACCAGGCAGCCCAGAACTGCGTTCTGCTTTTGGCTAGGTTCATACGCAAGAGCTTAATTTTTATCCTTGTTCACATCACTTAAAAAAGCTTTGGAATATATTTGACCTTGCCTCAAGGGTAGGTTGGAAACATAACTGCAGGCAGGTTACAAGCTTGATATAAGTAGTTTTGGCACAGCCCTGTGGAGGAGGCCATGGAGCATTTGCCTCTAGCTGACAATAAGGGCTCTTTAAACTAAGCCAGCTGACTTTGCACTGAAGCAGATGGTAAACAGTCACATGAACTTTTCCACCAACTGAGCTGTGGGGTTGCAACAAGAAGCCCCAGGGCAGGAATATCTGATAGTGACGCTGCTGTTCCTGTAGTGAACATCTAACCGCAGCCCCGAACTAAATCCAGACGGAGCTAGTGATATCTGCTCCTAATTTCAATGAATATTGAATTTGCTCAAGTTAGCTGGGCAAGCTGTCAGCTTGTGTCAGTCATTCCAGCTCCCTGGAGAGTGAAGTTTAGCTCTCAAAGAGGTAGCTAAAAAACTTTCTGACAAACCATTTTTCTTTTGGAAAAGAAAGATTGCAAAAAAAGTAACTACTCCATGGCAATGGGTCTATTTTAATTTGTTTTATTATTTATTAGGATGCAGGTTGTGGATTTGAAATGACCTGAACCACACTGCATACAAGCAAGCTTACTAGCTTAGTAGGAAAGCTGTTCCAGCTGAGCAAAACATTCATTAAGCTGAATCCTCTATTTAATTTGTGGTGTACTGACAGGCCATTCAGCCTCCTCATGCTGTTGGCTTGCCTGTGAACTGATGACTCCAAAAACAGTTAGAGAATACTGACCTCCAAAGGTGTTCAGCGTAAAGGTCTGCATACTACGCTCCTGCAAGTATTGCAGAAAATGAAAATGGCATATTAAGCAAAATGATGGAGCTTGCTGTAGAATGGTTCTGGGTTTTTGAATTATCATGGCTTTTTACACCATCAGAGTTAACATCATCTTATTGCGGTGTGATGAGCATGAACTGTTAAGGGTCAATATAGTCTTATGGCTGTGATTGTGTTTTGGGATGTAGGGGACCTGAACTTTGCTCTGCTGTGCTCTGCATTACCGTGTTGTGTGGAGTTCTTTCTGCTGCTTCCCTCTTCCTTGGGGTTGTCTGTCTGTAAGGTAATTAGAAGAGATGTCCAGCACAGATAGTGCCTACTAGTGGTTGGGGCCTTTAGATGTTTCTAAACAACAGGTAATAATCACTAGGGATAGGTTTAGTAAACACTCTTGAAAATCATTCCCTGCTTTTTCTGAATGTTTGTGTGCAGGATCATAAACTTCAAAGGCATTCTCAGTTTTCAGATAAATACTTAATTTTTGCAGTCTGCAGATCAGTGCCTACTGAATTACATTTAAATTTTGCAAAATAGGTTGGAGTGCTGCAAAAACTAAGACTTTCCCAGGATGTTGGGTGAATAAAAATGGATAAATGTTTTTGTTTGCTCCCCCCCCCCATAACTAGGCTTGTATGCCTTAATGTGTTTTATTTTGGAGTAAATAGTGCAAGATTAATTTTCTGTCAAATGTCGCTAACCTATACCTGCAAGAGGCCTGATCTGCTACCTAACCTAAACAGCCAGGATTGTCAGGATGTTTTCCCACTCCTAAGTGGAAAGTGAACAGGTCAGTGCCCACTGACTCCTTCCATTGTGCTTGTCATGTCCAATCATCACTCCAGCCAGTTCTTTCCATATAAAAACACATGAAGAACCCTGTAACATGAAAGCTGTTTCAAATCTACATGTATAAGAGAAAATTTGAACTTTCTTTCTTAAATGAGAGCAGTTTTTTCCCCAGAGCTTTTATAATTGTTCAAATTGTGCTCCTGCTTTCTTCAGTGGGAGCAGGATTGAAGAAGCCATAATGGTTTTGCAAATTCTACCCCAAGCATTTTTAACTGGGAGTGTGCATATACAATAATAATGTCACAAAATGTCTGAAAAATACAGCTACACTGAATCTGTGCAGATGGCCTGCTCCAACATTTGCTGGAGCTGTGACTGATTTTTTTTTTTTCTTCTTTCCAATGGCATATGTGCCAAAACATCCCACCACACAGAAGTCAGCAGTCTGCAGTGAGTCACTAATCTGCTTGTATGCAAAAATGAGCAACAGGCATAGTCATTATTTCTGCTTTGTGCTGTGAAGAAATGCTCACTTACACACTAAGCACTTCAGTAAAGCTTTCATTTGGGGAAGGCAAGGAGAGGAAAGCATAGCATGCTTTTATTTGGAAAAAGGATTGTCTACAGGTTTTTTTTTGTCTCTGGCCTCTAGGACTAGAAATAAAGCATCAGCTTAAAACGGATGCTTCTTTGTGGCATTCCTCAAATGGGGAGGGAGCTTGGGGTGGAGGGTTTTTTTGGCTTGGTTCAAAGCATTCAGATTCCTGAAGATCACATACTGTAATGTTCCAAAGACCATGACCTAAAAATACAGCATCTTCCTCCTGAAAGATGTAGAAATGCACAAACAAATCTGTTAGTCCTGGGTTTCTTATGATCATGTTGAAGTGTTTTCTATTTGATCAGGCCCTTTAAAATAGGAAACTTTGTGAGAGCAGAGGAGGCGTATGCCCAGAAATGTGGAGGAAATGCAGTTATGGTTCATTATGTACGGTGGGTTCGTTTTCTTGCCTGCTGCTTCCCTGAGCAGCTGCTGTTGGCCACAGCGACTATTCCCAAGTGGAAATCCCTGCCACCCTCGGTGAGCACAATGGACAAGCCAGGGATTAGCAGGTGGTTAAATCCTGTGACAACTGCTGAAGTGCTAGGGATAGGAAGAGCCATGTAGAATATTTCCAGTAGAGAACGATGACCAGGAGAAAAGGACTCACTTTACACTTGCAGATGACTGTATAACAATAGCAAGTAAACTAACATTAAAAGTGTTTTTCAGCTTTCTGTAGGAAATCACGTCCAGGGTCCACTGCCTAACAGACAGCCTTTTAGGTTAGTTAGGTTTTTTCAATCATGAATTTTCTCTGGATTGAATGTTGACAAAGTGGCATTTGTTTGGAGTCTCGGAGTGCTTGCCTGCTGTCCCAATGAAGCAGGTGTAGCCCAGCCAGCCATCCTGTAAACTTCTGCATGGGTGAGTGTGCCTAAACTGTGCCCCTAGACCACCTGCTAGTGAGAGCCTGAAAAGGGATATTAACTCTTATCTCAGCCAAAACCAGCACATGATCACAGGAATGCCCTATTGTTCAGTCTTTTCTACACACTGGAGGATGTTCTCTCCAGTCCAGACTATATTTTCCTTCTTCGCATTGGTTTAGTTCAGTTAATTTCTACTAAAAATTTCAGTTAACTTCTAATAAACTAAAAACTCTGGTTTTCATACCTGAATATGCCATGCAGAGATTCTGTATATGGCACTTCATTGGCTTAGGCCTGTTGGCTAAAGGCAGGATGGAATGTGACCATTTCCGAAGAACCACCAGGTAGTCTATTCAGTAATTACTAGACAATTTGTATGTGTAAGTGTGAGAGTGATTGTCATTTGGCTTTTCACACAGGACAGTGAGCATATCCTCTAGTTCACTCTAGTTCAGGCGAGGAGTGTGGATGAAGTTTCTCATGGAGTCACGAGTTATATTCTCAGGTCCAAGTATGACATGTTGACCTATTTAGCTATTAACCTATCTTTTCTTTCACTGCATTCGTGGCGAAAGAGTACTCAAGTGTCAATGGCCACGGTCTCACAGGAATAACAGCTAAAAGGGAAGGAAATTGGAAATTTCCTTATGAAAAGGCAGCTTCTCTTTTGACCCCACTGAAGTCAATGTTCTTTTATTTGTCATTTGGGAATAAAATTCTGTGTGCAAGTGGCACGGGCCTTGTAGTACATTACATGTCATGGGTAGAAGCTTATTACAAAGGTGCCTTGTATGATAGAAAAGAGGTGAAAGACACAGGTTTCCTTTTTCATGCAGTGCTTGTCAGCTTTTTGTGAGTTTTTCATCTCAGCTACTCAGAGTTGCTGGCACTGTTTGACATTCTGTGATACTGATTGAAATGGTCTATAGGGTGCAGGTTGAGCTGTAGAAATGGAGGCTTCTGTGATACTATGTAGGATGTTGCTTATTCCAAGCACCTACAAAAATCACTAATTAACTAATTTAAAAAAAAAAAGTCATAAGAATCATCTAGTCACGTACCTTTGTCGTCTTCTGGAATTGTTGTGGGAAGACTTGTCTCTGTTGATGTGGACAAAGTGTTTGACCTTAGTCTTCAGAAAAGCTCAGTTTTTTCACTTGGGCTTTCCTTCAACCTGCCTGAGCTTTTTCATTTTGTTTTGCATTTTTATTTCACTGACACGACTCCTTATCCAACTCTGATACTCAAGAAGATACTATAAAATTTGCAGAACACTTGAATCAGTTTGAGTGAATATGGCCTCTTCTATTGAACTATCAGATATTTTCTATACAAGTTCTACTGAAGCTATTCAGATTCAAGCTGATGTTGCCTAAGATGGTGTCTCTCTTAGACTTCCATTTGGTTTGTTGTTTGACTTCTGGATTTTAGGGAGATTATTAATCTTTTCCCAAAGTTTTGATTTCTTCAGTAGTAAAAACTGAGCAGCAGTGAGCCACAAAACCAACATATACAAAATCTTCGGGTTTCTATGCCTGTTTCTGGCTGGATTTTAGCTTTCTCTCAGTAATTTTCAATATTATTCAAACAGCCTAGTGTCTGTGAATGGTTTTCCCCTCATAAGACTAGATTCTTCTTTCATGTGCTACACACTTTCTTCCTCCTTTCCTTGCATGTAGACAGTCGGTGATGGCAAATTGCAGATGCATGACATAGACTTACCATGTAGTAACACGTGACCAAGGTTGCAGTTGTGTCTCAGTAGCCAGTGTGTGTGTTTGGTTGCTTTTAAGAATGAGGAGTGGAGGAGGCTCGTGTTTGTGGTGGGTAGAATCCTGTTCCAAGTCAGCTGCAGATGGGAAGGACACCCTCTTGTTAGGCTGTAAGCCATCTTGTCACCTATAGTGCATCTCATTTCTGTTTGGGCCAGTCTCTTCTGAGCTAGCCTGAAGACTTGGTTGCATGCTGTATCTATGGAAAGAAGATTTGAAAGTGCAGTTTCTGAAAAGTGACTCCATAAAAATGTCTTTGCAGTGTAGAGATTATGCTTCTGTTATATCTTTGGTCTGTTATGTCTGTGTTACTGTTGTGTCTTTACTCTGTGAGACTAAGGATAGCTTCTTGATGACCTCTGCTAGTGACATAGTAGTCTGATGTCACATAAGGTGTCTTCTGACTACTACTGGTAAAGACTCCGCTATCAAAGTAGGAATGATACCATGAGCTGGACATAACCTCACCTTCCTCCCCTGAGAGCTTTTGCTTCTGCACTTAGTGTAAACTCATTTCTAGTCACCAAAAAGGCAAAGGTAACTCTTGTATCCTGTGGTGGGTTAGCCCTGGCTGGTAGGTAAGTCACCAGCCTGTCACCCACTCACCAGTGGGGTATGGGAGAGAACTGGAAGGACAAAACCAAGAAAAAAGTCCTCATGGATCAAGATAAAGACAGTTTCAAAAGGGATGGGGGGGAACAGATGATGCAAAAGCCAGCACTCACCACCAACAACTGATGCCTGGCCAGTCCCTGAGCAATGACCACTTTGGAAAAAAACTCTCCCCCCAGTTTTATTGCTGAGCATGACGTTATGTGGTATGAAACACCTCTTGGTCAGTGTGGGTCAGCTGTCCCAACTATGTCCCCTCCCAATCTCTTGTGCACCCTCAGCCACACTGTTGGGGTGGCAGAGTGAGAGAGAGAGAGATCTTGATGCTCTGTAAAAACTGTTCAGCTGTAACTCAAGCATTGCTGTGTTACTGACAGCTGTTTTGATCACCAGTCTAAAACACAGCACCATCCAGGCTACTATGAGGAAAGCTTAATCCATTCCAGCCAAACCCAGTATACACACAAAACAGAGCATATCTGTAAACAAGCAAGCAAAATAATCCTTGTTTTACTGTATGGACATGCTTTCCTAAGGTCATGATTCTCCAAAATGCTTTGTATGCACTTAGCATTGGGAGCTGATGGGTTGAAGTACAGCCTGCTGAAAGCCTCCAGAGCCCCTTCTGGCAGAAGCTCAGGTTTTGTGCTTCCCCATGAAATGATTTCCTGTATTAGTGGAAGGGGAGGTTGTATAGTAGATATTGTGACTGTTATATTCTTTTTAAAACTGCTAATTAAAAGTATGTATTATTAATGTTGTCTGTAGGTTCATTCCAGTCTCAGAAAAAGAACTTATTCCACAAAATTGTCAGCAAATGTAAACACAGAAAGGAGAAGCTTAATGTTCCGGACAAAGGTACTGGTGCATTACTTAGTTAAGGTTTGGGGCCGCCTTCTCTCTCGATTCAGTTTCGGGGAAATGCTTCTAGACAGAGGCTGCTCATCTCTCTAGTACTTGATTGCTTTGGTCCCTTATTTCCCTATCTGCTTTGATTCTGTTAGCTCCTGGCTCCAATTGATCATATTACCTTATTGCAGTATGATGCTGTTTTATTTTTAATTGGCATCCCCCTTAATTACAGTTTCCCTGCTCCAGGCACCATGCAGCAGAGCTGACAAAGCAAGGGCAGTTTTACATTTGGCCCTGAACTCTTTTATCTTCCACAGCTCATAGCTCTTTAGTCCTTTGGTTACTCTTATCTCCAGCCCTTCTATATCAGAGACCGTGTTATTTATCCGTTTGTCAGAGTATTTCTCCATGTCGCTATCTCCTCCCCCTGTGGTTTCCCACTGTCTAGAACTTTGCAGACTGCAGCTGGTCAGGATATAAGAGCTTGTGTCTGCACTAGATCTCAGACATGCTAACCTAAACCAATCTTCCATCTCTACAGAAATCTTAACCAGCTTTCTCTTTCCCTCAGATTTAAAATAAATTCAGCAGTTTTTAAGCTATGTCCCAGGCTTGCTCTTCCCCCTATCATGCTGGTAGCTCTCTGAAGTCCTTTCCTTGTTACACTGTTGTGATCCTGCATACCTGCATACTCACAACTCTGAGGGGTGTTTTCCGGTGTACGGTATACACAGGATTATAGTTCAGCCTGCTTCCCTGGGCCCTTTTTATTATTTTACTTTTGTAGTCATGTTGCCCACACTGTTCAAATTGTGCCCAGGCTCTTCCTTAGCCCTTCCACAGTAGAGTTCTCTCCCACATCGTCCCTGTGGTGTAGAAGAGTCTCTCTGGTTCTGCTTGTTTAGGTAGCTCCATGAATTTCTTCCACTTTTTTTTTTTTCCCCATCCATATCTGTCTCTACAATAATAAAATCCCCATCTCCAGTTCCCCCAGCTCCCTTTATGCTTAATACCTTTCCTTAAGGCTTGGCCGTGTCATTTCCTCTATCCTGATGCTATGTTTTCTGTCCTCTGTGGTGCACTGTTTTCCCACATAGGCTCTGCCAGCTCCACTGCGTTGAATGGTGCAAATATTTTGAAATTACTTGCTCTGTTTGGTTGTATTTGTACAACAAACATGTGTTACTTCTCACTTATGAGAAGTAACTATATTGCTTCCATGCCAGTGTGAAAAAAGCATCATACATTAACGTAGCTTTTATTGGGTGTCATTCAGATTTTTGTTCCTGAATTAATATACCATGTAGACAAATTATTAAGAAAAAGGGGTGTTTAAATTCTCCTGTAGGAAAAGAAACAGAAAGTGATACATGATGGAGTAAAAAAATATAAATATCTTAAAATCTGCAGATATAAAATGTGGCTAAACAAAATGTCAAAACCTCCATTTGATTACAAGAAACCAGCCTGTTTTGATATAAAGTGAAGTGTGCACTATGATCAAAGATTCAAGCCTGGCAAGTGCTGAGTACCCTGGCCTTGTTCCAGCACAACACAGAGGCATGTCCTTGGAAGTTAAGCATGTGAATAATGTCATCGTGTCTAAACATTAAAGATGTGTCTGTGCATTTGCTGGAGTAGGGCCAGTTTGCTCGGTTCCTCCCAAGACTGAAGTAAAGACACGAGGAATTTAGCAGTCTTACACAGCCCACGTAGAAATTATCAAAGGAAAGACAGTGGGTATATACATTGGTGGGGAACTGTATTTTCTCTGAGTTACAAATGGGAGAAAATCTGGGGTCTTGCCTACTCTAAAGTGTAGTGACACTGAAAGCAAAGTGTTGATCAGTGAAGTGCAGTGTGGGTACAGCCTCGCCATCATGTGCTGCCTACGTAACTCCATCCTTTCATGAGTTCCTAGGCAGCATAGCCCTAAACTCGTTGACTCCGCTGTCCTGTATTCTGCACATTCAAGCTGGGAATCCCAGCATCTTCATTTCAATTCAAATATACAAGGATTTAGTGACTCAAACACTAGATGAAAATTTCAGCTCCTTTATGTAGTGTGTCACAAGTCTATAATGTGTGGGTTTGGTTTTTATGGAGTTAATTTTGCTGGAAGAAGGAGCCTGAATATTATTATAGCTGGAGAGGAGACACTTGGAAGGGTTGCTGTCATGCTGGATTTATGTTCTATTGTCTTTTGAAAAGTGTGTGCCTGTGTGCATCTCCCTCTTGAGTGAAGAAAAGTAAGTACAGTAAAGGCAAATTTTGATGGGATTGGATTATGTCATCTGGGTCTGTCTCTGGGTTGAGTTTCTCTGTGAATTTTGACTCCATGTGACCACATCATACACAGCATCACCAGTGCAAGTAACCATATTACGAGTTTGCAGGTGTTCACAGAGATAGATACAGCCCAGTAAAATCCTGGTGGACATGCTGCCACCCCTGCTCCTCCTGGCAGAGAGCACACAGTAATGCAGCTGAGTATGTTAAGAGGTGTGTCACTTCCTTAAGAAGGCTGACAGAAGCACAGCTGGACCCATCCTTGTTTGGGGAGGTTGAACACCACTCAGCTGAGAAATTTATATTCTGCCACACTGTCAAGGCTTTCTGATTGGAAGCAATGCTTTAAATAACAAGGGGTAAGTCACAACTCTTGACTCCCTGCAGGTACATTTAGGGATCTGTTCTGGGGGCTCCTCCATGGTTTGTGTAACAACCAGATGCAATGCTGGTGTTCGCACAAGAAGGAGAGAAGAGGAGATGGAACATATACACCAGTCTCAGCACTAGCTGAAATGTGAAGGAGCCCCATCTCCTGTGGCTGGTAGAGCTAACTGTCTGCTACTGATACTCCATCAGCTCTCCCATATGCCCATCCATCTGTACAGCCTTAGCACATATGTTTGAGAAAGAACAGAAAGTGCAGAAAATTAGCAGAATGGCCCTTTTTTTTTTTTTTTTTCCTGCTGAGAAAGCCCTGTTCTGTGGGGCCCACATCCCAGAGGGGGCCAGTTGCTACGTGCCTTTGGTGTCCTGTCGAGGATGAGAGAGGGCTGGGTCAGCACAGGCTCATGCAGCAGAGCTTCCCACCCAGGCAGCTGCCCATACACCTGGCTTGACCATCTGCTGCTTTATCAGCTGGTGTCTCTCTGCTTGTTAGTCCCCAGCCCTTGCTGCAGCTCCCTGTGCCCTGCCTGACCCCACAAGCAGTATTGCAGCAGCATCCCCTTGTCAGAAGAGCTGAGTACAGGTCAGAGCATGCTTGGCATCACTTCTATGATGAAGTGATTCCCCAAGCACTGGTGGTTTGAAGCTTTGCTCTGCCTTGGTAGGCTTCGCTTCTCCTTTTTAACTTCATAAAGACCATTAAAGCATTACAACCCACCTTTCTTTCTTGATACCAGCATGCTTAGACCCACAGAGCATTCATTCTCCACTAAATGTGGTTAAACTTCTTCAGCTCTCTCTCACAACAGATAGGCATCACTGAAGAAATTCTTTAAAATCTGTGTCTTGCTGGGGTTCAGTCTGAAAAGCTTGTCCTCTTCTGTAGTATGCTGAGTCAGACCAGTTGACTTCATTTTTTTCTTGTTCACAAAGATGGGGGGAAATAAGACTTATATGGATGCTGCATGCCTGCAGAATAAGGTAAACTGTCCGTGCTAACTTTTAACAAATCTAGCTCAGGAAACCATCTGGCATAGAGCTCTAGATGTTTTTCTCTCAAAGTCGTTTTTGTCGCTGTGGTGTAAGCATGCCAAAAGGCCCACATCTTCGTATCATGTGCTCAGCTCTGCTTGCAAAAATAGTCCTGTAGTTCTGGCATGTGCTACTGTCATGCGGAAAGCTACCCATGTAAATACCTGTTTGCAGGACTGCACAGTAGCTTCAGAACCTCATTGCCTTTTTAGACAGCATTCTCCTGAAAATTAGCTGAGCTCTACATGGGACAGCTCTTGAACACAGGACTGTGTGAAAACAAGAGGGATGTGAAATGGATTAAAGAAATTATTAAAGAAAAATAGAGGGAATTAAACTTGATTAGCCCTGTCCTTTTTGCACAGCAAAACCAAGCCCTGATTTGGAGCATCGGTATGGGTATACCTTTGTCAGGTGATGCAGTGGGGTGCTGTTCCTCTTGAAGAAGGTACAGGAGGACCGCTGTTAGCACCTAAATTAGCTTATATGGTGGTTACTTCTTCATTGACTTACTTCTTCTCTGGAGTTCAGTGCAAAGGGTCTTGTGAGTGAAGCCTTTGTGACTTCCTTCTAGTTAGATTTTATGTCTGTTTGAATAATAATCTTTAAAGAAGTCAATTAAATGTTTTCTTATCCCAACATCCACTAAGACTGCTAGAGAAGGGGGAAAAAAAAAAAGCTCTTCCCTTCAACGTCCACCCTCCACACAGAAATATATTCATTGTTCACCTTTAATCCTTCCTTCTTCAAAACTGTATGGCAGCAATGTTATGATGAAGTGATAAAGAGCTTACTTTAGTGCTAGAGGAGAAAAAAAAAATGTAGAGGACATTCAAGTCTCATTTCAAGGATTGAAAAACCTTTAAACATGGAGAGGGAATATACTTGCTGCATCCTGAGTTTGTTGGCAACTTCCGCCTATTTTATTTAGTAGTCAAACACATTGTATGCTCCTTCTTATGTCTTTAGTAACTATTGCCTCCTTTTATTTTGCCTTTCAACATTTTATCTTTAATTTCTTGAGCTTAAAAGAAAAGAAATATAAAAGGGAAATATCTACTGTATTGACCAATCAAGTTTATTTCTAACCTGACATGGCTTATAATATACAACACATCTAATTAAAAACGTACCAAATCAGGTTTCTTTCTATTGTATGTTTTTTATTGTATGAAATCATGTCTTAATATTTTTAAGTGTAAAAAAAAAAAAAAAGTTGTATTACTAAGATTAAAGCCATTATAAACTCAGTCAAACTAGAATTAAACAGCACTGTCAAAGTACGATCTAATTAGACCAAATCCCCAAATCAGAATTAACAACTAGTGTTTTGGACTACAACCAAACCATTACATTAATACATACTCAACACTTACGAATTCCCAAATAAGAAACCTAGAGAGAAAGCTGCACATTTAATTATACATTCCAATTAAGATTTTGGTCTCAGTGCAGTAAGCTTATCTGAACATCTCACTATTAGCCAGATTGAGTTACTTGAAAGTCACATTTGCAATCATTGATGCTTCTACTTAATTGGACTGTTACAAGGCAGATCTTTTCTCGTGATTTCTCTTTCTCTGTTTATTAAAAAAAAAAAAGTTTCACAGCATAGCTCTGCTCTGGAAAGGCTGGCAGCTATAGCTAAACTGAGAAAAGCTAATTGAAGCTGTGTGCTTTTTTAAAAACAAAGAGCATGCACAAGTTCAAAAATGTTTTACAAGAGCAGATATGAAGGTGAATTAAGAGCATAAGCGACTTAAGGTTTGGAACATTTCCAAATGTTTTTATATATATGTACTAGATCTGATTGTATTCTTATGCCATAAAACATTAAAAGGTCCCTTCCCAATTAAAACAAAAGAGCAAAGGATAACAGCTTACAAGATAAAATATTGGAACTACTCTCTTGATCCAGTCCACATCCTTGCACAATTGACAGTTAAAGAACCTAGCAAAAGATAGAGGTTATATTGGCCGTATCTTTGAATAGGAAGCTCATTAAATCTACAAAACAAACAATAAATGAACAGTAAATACACACTAAAATGAATGAGGGCAAAGTCCATGCAGACTGCTTGACTGTTGGACATAGTTTGCGAGGTCGGGTGCTCCTGCATGACACAACCAGTCTCAGTATAGGAGGCTGGTCTTGTTCAGTGCTTAGCCGTTCTGAAAGAGCAGTTGTTTGCACTCTGGTTTGAGGTTTGTGCATGTAATTCTTTCTGGTCCTGCCACCCAGAAAGTGAACAAATGGGTCTTAAACATATCTTTAAAATGGGAAGAAAGAGTAAAAGAAATTGTGGGGAAGAGAAAGCTAACTGTAGACACAGACACATCTGTGAAATATAGAAAGGACTGTTCAAAGAGATGGGGTATAACCTTGACGTGTAGTGAAGAAAGCGAGTTGAAAATACAGCAAGGGAGATGAGGTACAGGCATTAGAACAAAATATGTAATCATTCAGGATGGCAGTGCACTGGGAAAAAGTACCCTGAGGACTTGGTGCAGACACCATGAGTGCTCCCAATTTCAAAACAGGTTAGAGAGGCATCTCTGAGAAATCGCTTGGGTGTTCCTCTGCTACCTGTAGTCTCTTTCTAGCCCTAGCTTACCATGATCACAGATGGGATAGGCCTTATAATACTTGTGTCACAGGAGGAGAACAATGTCACACATTGAATTTATGGACTAGTGATACCCTGTGGTATCAGCAGTATGGCTTATTAAATCAACGGAAATGACAAATGATTGATGATTACGCACTGATTTCAGACTTTGGAAGATTAAATACATCTTGTGATTGCTGTCTCACCAGTTTCTTCATGAACAAGATTAAAGTGACTCTTTAGTCAGGTAAAAATTTGTGATCATATTCCAGTTCTGGGCAGAAGGCTACTTCAAAACGCCAACACTGGTACTGTTGAGAAAGATTCAAACTGTTCCTTTCTCTCTCTGACTTTATGTAGGCTGTATTTCAGTCACAGTATTTTATCACGGGCTTACTTTCTTTTTTTCACATTCTTGTCTTCAATCAGCTCTGCTTTTATATTTGCTGCCTTTTGGGTGTTTTTTCAGGTTTGTAGTTTTGTATTTCCTTCTGCTTAGAGATGACATAGACTGACTATAGAGGGAAGACCGGGGGTTAGTCAGGAATTCCTGAATTCTGCTTGTGAGTCCATCTGTGAGCTAAGATAAGCTTACATGAGGACCATTATTGTTCCTTAAATACATTTTGTTTCTTAGCTACCTGCTGGCATCTTCTGTTGCAGAGCGTTTTATACATACTGTTTGATACCCTTCTCCCACTGAAGCGCTATTGCCCATCTCACAGTTTTCTTCGCAGATAATAGAAACTTAAACCTTCCTGGATATCTTTAAGAGCTGATGCTACTATTCCTCTGCAAGCATCTGCAACTTTCAGATCATGTCTTGCCATGGGTTATGCTCTGAGTACCTGTGAGGGAAGACTGTATACATATAGATAGATGCAAAATGATAAATGAGCATAGCTAGTAGCCAAATTATTCTCCATGTAAAACTGCGTTTTTATCCTCTTTCAGCCATACTCTCAGAAGACAGAAATTCCAGTGAGTCTGCCTGGAAGAATAAAATTTCTGTATCTGCCCTAAACACTCCAGAGCCAGCAATGATGCATGAGCCTTTAGTTGGCAGCCAGAAGAGGAAAGCAAGAAAAACTAAGATCACACATCTTGTCCGAACAGCAGACGGCCGAGTGTCACCAGCAGGAGGGACATTGGGTAAGGAAATTAAAGTTTAACTTTTATTAAAACTGAATGGTTGGAGAAGGTTTGGGAGTACAAGCAACCTATCAGAGAAATATTTTTCAGTTAGCTTTATTTCATACCTGCTTAGAAAGGTCATTATTTTAAAATACAGGTATTAATCAACTGGGAAATAGGTGAGTCCATAATGCCCTACTTTTGTTTGAATGCCCAAATCTGTGTTCTCTCCCTGGATATTCCTCTCTAAGAACTGGGAGCTGTTATAAAGAGAAATGGGAAACAGTTACCTTTCATAATTTGCTTCCAGTTCAGCAAAGAAATTACACTGTACCTAGTTATAGGACGTAAAAATGAATTCCGTAATATGACAGTCAATGCCACAGTCCTTGCAGGAGTCCTCTGCAGTTAAGATAATCTTTCAGGACTTCTACATCTAAAATGTACACAAAAGATCCCTTGCCTGACCTAAAAGATCAAACTCAGTTGAATGTTAAAGGGGTAAACTGCTGCATGAACCTTAGTACTGTGCTTCTGCCATTAGCTTGGGTCAGAAGAGGCTGCAGAATGTATCAGGTTATACTTGCAAAATCAGGTCCTAAAGGTAAAGATTCTGTTAACACTAGACTAGTCAGTATATTGATGGGCAGCTGTAAATTTAAGGGTGAGGTTTGCAAACGTAACTTTCTTTTATTGCAGAGGAGAAGCCAAAAGAGCCGCCACAAAGTACTCTTCAAAAAACATCAAGTGCAGAAACAGATTGCAACAGTGAATGCTCCAGAAATGCAGAGACAGAAGAAAATCATAGTATTACATCAGATATGCCAGCAGTGTCTGCATTTTTTAGCTTAGCTGCTCTGGCAGAAGTAGCAGCCATGGAAAATGTACACAGGTATATGGTTCTCTTTTCCCCTTGCTATCTAAATGGATAGTATGTGCCTACCAGCTTGTTCAGAAAGCATGTGAATTGCAGACTGTTTAATTTGGCCTGTGCTTCCTCTTCCACAGCTTTCTATGAATGTCTGTTTTACATTGCTTGCTTAGTAGTGTTAAGTCTCCACCTAAATGACAATACAGCCTATTTCAGTAGTTAGTAAAATGCTCCTCCCTGGTAAGCTTCCCTACCAATTTTTCTATATAAACAGGTTCATATGCTTGATGCCATTTATCAGATAATATAGATTTAAGTAACTTTTGCATGCTGACTTGCAATTTTCAGTGACTGTGGGCAGAATTTCATATGACTTCAGCTGAAGTTTTTATGCTGAACATGGCTGGAGGAAGCTAACATTTTTAGTTGTGTGCTTTGCTGTTTAGGAGGCAAAGCATCTGCAGAATGCCGTGGGGCAGAGCAACTCTGGGTGATGGAAAGTCACATTAGCTTGGGTTGGTCCTCTCAGTTACTGAGTAGACCATCCACACAAATAAGGTAGAGAATGTGCCATGTTACTTAGGGCTGTTGGATCACTTCGGCATAGTCAGATCCTTCATGCTGGCCCTGTGATGGGAGAAAACCAATGACAGCAAGTCCTCCTTGGCTCTTAATTATTTAGTGTTCTATGATGCTGCAGCTTATTGGAGATGAAACCTCATCTTTTCCTGCAGTGTAGGGTCAGTGAGGAAGTGCTGGGCCAGTTTGAAACCATCACAGCCTCTGCAAATGGCATTTGACAGATTGCTGGCTGCCTGAGAAACTCCTCAAAGGCAGGAGCTGATGAAACCACTCACAACCTCAGTTTACTGTTGATCTCGTGGCACCTGTTGGCCAACCCAGTCCTGCATGTTCAGGCTGCGCATCAAATGTTGAAAGACTTTTTTGAAGCTCAGGGGCCCTACAAGAAACAGTCAGCTGAACCCCACCTGCTGACCTTTCTGCAGAAGCTGTTGTCTTTCTTAAGCAACATAGTTTTGGGCAAGAAGTGTTTTCATGCTGCAGTCAGTCTGGTTTTTCCTCCCAACATTGCAAAGCAGGTGTCTGCTATCAAGATAGCAAAAGTCTGAACTCATTTCTGTTGTCTTCCATGGTCAGAAGCCACGAAGTGAGACTTGGGGAAGTGCTGTGCTAAATTCTGCTCTCACTTTCACCCTTGTGGTTTTATTGATTTCCATTAACACTGACCGGAATTGCACAAGAGCAACGGGATTCACTTTGCTTTCCCTCTTTGCTCCTGTAAGAGTTCTTGTCCTCCTCTTGTCCCTGTTGAAGTGAGCTTATGTGTTCCATAGCCCGATCTTCGGGTCTTTCTTACTTCCCCCTTTTGTCATTTCATCATGCAGCTAGAGCAGTGCAGCACCTTCTGTGAGGCCTGAAAAGACCACACAGCAAAGGTCCAGCAACTGTTGCAAATTCCATCTTGTAATCACCCCAAGGGAAAAATAACAACGGGAGAACTCTTTCCCAGTAGAAACTTAGCCATATCTCTCACAGACTTGGCCAATGGAAGTCAAAACAGAAAACAAAACCTGATGGGCTAGATGCGTCTGTTTTCTACCTTGTCAGCTGTTTGTTATCTTTTGCAACTCATTTCTTTATTTGCAAATAGCTGGAAATGCGAATAGTATTAGAGGTTTGCTTGATGTGTTTCTCCAGTGTCTGAACTCAATTATTAAATAATTTCACAGAGCCTTGGGCCATGGAAGCCAAACTCCTTTTTAACTGTAATTAAAGCTTGTCTGGAAGTGGCAGCATGTTTTTTTCAGTTGAAGGCTTCTGTTTAGCTTTATTTACCTTGTGCATGTGCCGGCTAAGCACTGCGAGCCTAAGCTTCATTTTGTGCCAAGGCCGCTTCATTGCACCCTGGTTGTGCAAAGCACGTTAGTAACTGCGTTTCTGCTGGGGTCTTGGGTGTGTCACAGTGAGGTAAAGTGGCTCTTGTGTAAATAAGAAGTGGGCCCCAGAACTTCATTGCTGCAAATGACACATACTGTAGCAAAAATAGAACCTGACTTGTGAGATTAGATAACAGGCAGTGATGTGGTTTGTGTATGTATTTTAAAACGCAAGCTGCAAAGGAGCTCTCCCAGGTCCATCTGCTGCAATGATTGATGTTGATTTCCAGCACATAATTCTGGCGCAGTTTTATTTTTATGATACCCTGTGCCAGGGAATCATTTGTAAGTTAACACTGCTGTAGTAATGAAAGAGATGCTGTGCTGGGCTGTTGAAGTGTCAAGACATGAAAATTGGAGTAATCCCAATGTGCAACTCTGATGAGTATATTTCCATATTGCTGAAAATCTAGCTATTGAGTCACATTAATGTGATATATGCCTCTCTGTGCATTTACCTTCTTTTGCCGCATATGACCTGTACTCTCTGCTTCTGAGGGCTGAAGCTGTTCCCTTATAAAATGAGTGACAAAAGGAGCGACAGCACTTGTGAGCTCTTCGCTTACTGTTCCGCCATGCATTTTGTTTCATGTGGTCAAATACATCACCTCTTGGTTTTACCTGACTTTGCATTGTGTTGCAGGTTGTCCTCAGGATCTTGTGTTACTATTGCAGGAATACTGCTAAAAAGAGCCTGTAACAGTGGTATGTGGGCATCTGTAGAAGCAGGCAGTTACTGTGCTGTAATGTTAGATGTTAAACCGTATCATGTACTGCTTTCCATCCTTTCTGGTCTGAGAAAAGCACCTCCCCTGCTCCAAATACTGATGTGTGGCTTTTCTTTTCTTCTTTTGCAGAAGTCAGAGGACCACACCTCTCCCACATGATGGACAGCCAAATGAAATGTCTCAGGCTCCAGTGCTTATTTCCTGCGCTGACCAGTGAAGCTCCACTTTATTGTAAAACATTGTGCTTTACCTAATATCCTAGCCTTGTCTTTACCAAGGGAAGCTAGTCAGTCCATATGATGGAAACTATAGACTGCAAGCAAGTGTTTATTGTTATGAGTGGCCCAGAATTCACTGGAAGCCAGACGTTAGCAACTTGGGCCAGGTCCTCAAATTGGAACCCAGTATGTAGGAGGGTGATATTAATTGTCTATGACTGAACAGAAATTAAATGATCCCAGAGCTTGCTTTCTATTGAAGGCTTTTAAACAGTAAATAGGTGGTTGGTGTGAAGAAGGCTGCCTTTACTGTTAGCTCACACAGCATCTCTTTTACCAACCAGAGAGTATGGCAACTAGTTTCGTATAATACCTAGTTATTCTAAATGAAAATAAAAAAAAAGAAAAAAAAAACAACAAAAACACTGACGCACTGCACTAGTTATTATTAGATATTCTTAGTCATTTTTGTACATGAAGATTTAAGTTCTAAGATGGTTTATATTAATAGGTTATGCCTACGTTTATATTGTAGAATGAATTTAAAATCCTGTTCCAGAGAACTCAAGGCAGCCTGGACAGATGTACCATTGTTAGCGGTGTTTGGGCAGCCATGTGGTCCAGATGTTCTGCACTTTTATATTTGCCACCAGAGTGGTAGAGTTTACTGGGAAAAATTCTGACAGGCTATGTTTGGGTTTGTTTCTTTTTAATTTAGCTTTGAATAACCAGGATGATGTGCATTAGAAAAAGGAGTGGTGTATGGAAAAGAAAATACTGCAGATATTGACTTGTCTTTCATGCCTTGGAGGTTTCCTTTATTTTTGCGTAGATATCTGAGCGACTTGGTGAAACTTTCCTGTAAACAAAAAGTACTGCAAATGCGTTTTTCAAAAGTGACCTTAGTATTATTTCACCGTTCTGAAAAACCTAAACCCGTGACTTTTCAATATACATGTACACCAATACACATATGTTTTACATTTTACAGACACTGGCATTGTTGTAGTTACTATGCACAGTCCAGATCAGCTTCAGAGTTTGCGGAAAGGGCCAATTACAGTTGGTGTTGGTAAAGTGGCAAGTTGTATACAGACGAACTACAACCGAAGAGTAACATTTGACTGAATTCAGACTACCAAACAGATCCATCTGCCAGTTTCTGTCTTTGCTTATGTTGAATTTTTGTGTTTCGCGCTCATAAATACATCCCAGAAGCAGGCCAAGTGTATCACTTGGCCTGTTATCTTTGCTACCTTGACTTACACTATTGTATAACCAAGCATTGATTCCTACCAATAGATGCAAAATGATCACTAGTAATTGATCTGAAGCTACAAATTCAACAGGGTACTTCTTCTATAGCACAAGATGTTTCCCTACTTTTTGCATTGTAGCACAACAATTTACCAAATTGGACTCCAGCAATAATTTTCTATTAGTCTTCGTCATACCGGCTGAACTTTTGATAGTATTAGATTGAGTTTGAAGTTCTTTGAATTAAGTCTTTAAATGATGCGAGTTTACATCATTCTATCAGGCATTCTTATTTATACTTGACTGAACTGATAATGTGTTTTGGGGTTATTTTATAACTAATTTGATGAAATAGCCATATGGACGGTAACTCTATTAATGCTTGCTAGGTTTAGCCTTTCATTGTTGTAGTTAAGTGAAAGTCTTTGGTTCAGTGTCAGGAAACGATATACAACATACCACACAAGTTGTAACAAAGGATTAAAGGTCTGACAAAAGGCAGGTGGCTGGGGAAGTGTCACTGAAACAGCACCATCGAGGATGCATGTGTTGGAAGAAGGGAACAACAACAAAAGAACATCAACATTTTTGAACCAATGAGTCAGTGAAAAGGCTTTTAAAAAATTCAGGTGAATATATGACTAAGAGCCCCAAGAATGCCATTGCAGTCTATGGCAGTATTTTTAATAAGATTTTATTAAAGTTTTATAAGTTATTTTAACAAGACAGGAAAAAATTTAAACTGTTGGGTCACAGCAAGGTGGCTGTTGGAGTTTTGGACCACTTTATAATTAGCTGAAATCCAAATATGTTACAGTGCAGACCGTTCACGTTGACAATGGTACTAACTTATTTCTCTAGAAGCCTTTAGAGTAGATATATTTTTGTCAAAGTACCCCATCCTTCCTCGATTTAAATTTCAATATTGTTCCTGAAGATATTTCTGTATATTAATGGTACCTTTTTTAAAAGAAACAGAAAATTACTTTTTTCTATATGAATTAATATCTTACTTGATCTGCTTTTCCTTGACTTTCCCTTAGAGAGGGGGTAGGATTGGGTCAGTTTACTGGATATGACTGTTTTCAGATACTTATAAACCTTTTTGTAGATATGCTTAATTTTTAAGCGATTAGGCACTGAGAGTAGCAGAAATCCTGCAAAGCTTTATAGTTCACTAGGCATTTGCCTTTGTTGGTTCTCTGAGTGATGTCTTGATTTCAGTAGCTAGAATTTTCCCTGAATCTACTAGAAGGGGTATCAGTATTTTCAGGTAACAAAGTCTGTTAGCACAACAAAAATTTCAGACCAATATCTTACTGTATTGGGGTTGGGTTTTTTCCTTGTTTGTTTTGTTTTAATTTTTATTAATTTCAGCTGCTTCCATTTTGGAAAATCTTATTGCTATTGTGTGTACTTCAGTATACCAGCAAACACTGTTACCCGTTAACACATTGTCCACAAATGCCTCTAGAGAAGAAATATTGCACCTTATGTATATCTCAAGCAAACCAAAATATGATGCTTTTCTCCTTTGTTTATTCTGAATATGTTGTATCATACTTTACTGAACCCATTTTAACTTAGCTAAAGCTATCGATATTTATGCATTTCACATTATTTTCTGGATCTGAACCTGTGTATAAATCTTTCTTTAAGAAAAAAAAAAAAAAGAAAAGCATTTTACCATAGTTGTCCTCTGTGACTTATCCATGGGAGGGGGGAATCTTGTCTCAAGTGTAAAATGCAGTACTGTCCCAGTTTTCCTTGGCTTTTATTTATTTAGTGATCTTTGATATTTCATATGTAGTTTTGAGGTATACAAAATACATTGTCGTAGCCGAAGCTACAGATCTAAGCAGCTGGGAGAAAATTACTGTAATGTCTTCTTAATTGTTCTAGTACTGTATACAAATATGGGAAAAATGTTCTGCAGAACATTTGAGATGCAGATTCTTATCCCCACAGTAGGTTATTTTCCAGATATTAGACCAAATCAATCAAAACTCTATGATCTTAAAGGTCTTTTTGAATCTGAACGATTCTATGATTCTAAAAACATCTATGGAAATTACTTAATGCTCTGCTTATGGCAGTAACTACCCCTTGAATGTGCTGTGATTTCAGAAATAGAATATATTTATTTAAGATGACTGAATGCTCTTTTATACTAATACAATATCCCAAAGTCATGAGCAAGAGACTTCTTGGTAGTTTGGGTTTCTATTTTATAGCATTGGTGCATGACTTTTAAAGTGATAAGCGTTGTTGGAAAGGGGCACAGGAACGAGGGACTGGTAGAAGTGTGTGAACTCGTGGTGTGTAAATTCCAGCTTTGGTCTTCATTATTTGAGTGAAAGCTGTCTTTGTAGCACAAGGCTGAAGAGCACTCTGCGGTGTGTATCAAGTAGAAACCGAAGAGAGTTGTAACTCACATCAGACAGAGGGAATGCCTTATAGTTTGGATGCTGTCTTTTGGAACAGGATATTAAATTGAAGCAGCTTGGATTTCTACTGCCTGTTAAGCTACTGTACGGATACTGAACAGACTGAAGGCAGCAGTTGTAGACGTGGGACAGCTAAGAGAGGATGTAAGGAAAGCTGGCCTTTGTTCTCAGTATGGCAAAGTTACGGCAACAAAGGGGAATAGGGAAAAAAAGATAGATAGATGTATATATATGTATGTGTGCGTATGCGTGTGTGCCTGGGTGTGTACGTTCTGGGAAAAAAAAAAATGTAGGAAAAACAAAAACATGATGGGTCTACAAGAGACTGTAATGTATGTTGACCCTTTGAGTGCACTCCCTTTTTTGAATGCTGAGTCTAATATGGCTACCTCTCCTAAAAGACTACTTTTGTTAACTTCCATTTGCTTTCAGGCTTGATCATGTAATCTTTTCGGCCATTGATACCATTTGTATATCGCTGTGTGCTTTACTTTCAAAGAGCAATGTTTATGTGTCACAGACAAGGTAAAGGCTGAATATACAGTGGTAGCCAAACTATGTTGCTGGAGCATTTTTGTTTAACCTCTGCCATAGTGATATGGGTTGCAGGATGTGGGCCTGCAAGCTCTGGTTGGTTCAGTGAGATGGGTTTTCGTAACAGCAGAAAATGCAGTGCTCGTGGGGTGGTAGACTTCAGATATTGCCAGAGGTGATGCAGTAAGCCAAATACTGCTCTTGAAACTTATTCTGGAGTTTATGTTTGCAATCCTCATTTCACAAGGAAACATAACTGTGCAACTTGTGTGTTGTATACCATACGTTATCCATTAGATGCCGTTTGTTTGCTGTGCTTGTTTGATAGATTGTAGAGTTCCTAGGTATCTTTGCCATGTTTTGTAATACTTGTGGCATTCTCCTTACCTTGTACATATTGTGGAACTGTCACCTACAGCTGCCAGGATGCTGAGGCACTTCAGGACTCTGAGCGCCGTGAATGAGTGCATTTAGGCTCTGAGAGAGTTACTTGCATCCTCCCTTGAATTCCCCAATAAAAAGGCACAGTGAGGTTCATGCTCTCACCTAAGTACTATTATAGTCATTTATATACTCAGTATTTTCTACTGAATTGACAACTTTGAAGAAGCTTATGAGATGGATGTGTATTTTATGTTCCCCCGCTAATTCTTCTAAGGCAGAACTCTAGGAAGACTTGACATGAGGTCTCCACTCAGGAACACACCTAAGTTTACGCTGAAAACCATCCTCACTTGAGGGGCAGCATTGTTGTTTGCACTGTGACAGTGCAGGAGCCCCAATTATGGACCACTACACTCTTAGAGTTAAGCTTGGGCTTGCGTGATGTTTCTGGGGGAGGCACATCATTGTGACCTAGGGCCTTCATTGACATGGAATTTTAAAACCGACTGCAAATAGCTTAACATTTGTTGAGTTCTTCCAAATAATTATATTTCTGGGTCTTGACTGTTACCGTATACCAACAGACCCACACTGTACTCTACTGGAAAGAAACGCACCCGTACAGGCTAACTAACAAGGCTTCCAAATGTAACGGTCTCATCTACTCTTTCCACACCTACAACTGAAACCTTATTTTCCCGCATACACTGCTATGCTTTAATCAGTAGTTGGGGCTTTTAAGGTGGCAAAAGCAAGAGAGGCATATGTGTGCATGTGTCTATGTGTATGCATACATATGCATGCACACACACACATCGGAGTGAAGTTGACTTGCAACATGTTCTCTGTACAAAAGTGTTCCCACGTTAGGTCATAAAACAACATGAGGATTCTCAGATGATAGTTTTCCAACTTTCTTGCTAGGTTTCGCTCTCTTTCCTTCACATTACACCATAAGGTGTGATTTTCAAAAATCACACCTGAAAAACACCACAGATCCTGCTGACCCTGGGTGCTACGGAAACCTTTCTCAGCAGTGCTTGCTTTTAATAACCTGTATCTGTTGACAGTTTTAACACAACTGATTTGCTATGATCTTTCTTCCTAGAGCCCAATCCTTCAACTTTTATTCTTGCACATAATTCCACTGAATTTTGACCCAGTATTTGGCTTCATTCTCTCCAAAGCTTGGTGTAAACATGCCTTACAATAGTTTATCTCCATCAATGATAGAACAGAGCTACTGCCTTCTTAGATGTGTGTAGTTAAAAGTCAGTAAGCACATTTATAGAATGTCATATTTTCTTCAAAAAACTTTAATTTGATATTTTCAAGTGCACATGTTAAGTCATGTGTATAACATGCTAAAGTACATGAAACTGTGATAATGAAACTGAATAAAATATTTAATAAAATATTTGAAATATTTGATAAGGACCTTCAAATAGATTTCTTTATGTTCATTCTATTTTGGTAATCTAGTGTGTGCCTGTAAACAGTTTCCCATTTAAAACTAATGTTTGCAAATAAATACTATTCAAACAGACCTTCTTTGATATTTCACCTGCTTTACTATCAAATGATTGTTTAACATATGGCTGAGTTAGCAGTATTTGCAGAATTTGTTTTTAGCTACAGTATGAGTTTTTTGGCTTTTTTTATACTTAAAAAGAAACAAGCTCGTTTTCCACCTGAAAATGGAAGATGCCAAAACCCAGAGATGGATCCTCAGAACTGTAAGCTGTAGTTCCCTGTCAGATCATCCATTCAACTTCTACACAGTGACTGTAAAGATGTCGTATACTTTGCAAAGAACTTCTGCCCATTTGTTCTTGCTTACACATGTCTATAATGGGAGCTTCCATTTTATTTTTTTAAAACTTCTGAGCCTGGTTCAGCACTGTTGACATTGTTGGAAATATCAATAGACCCATGCAAGTGCCCCAGAATTCAATGGATTTGTATTGGCATAAAGCTGGAGACTGGGGGACAGAGAGAGCCAGGACTCAGTGCAGTTAGCCTGTGGGAGAAAAGTTTGCCTTTTCTCCTGAGCTTTCCAGGTATCCACTTTGTGTTTTCTGGATTTTGTCGTCTTTGCACAACTGGGAAGCTTGTTTATAGTCCACACAAGTATAGGAGAGATCATCTCACATGAAGAAGCCCTTGCTATGTCTTCGGTCTTTGGACTCTAAGAGAACTTACTCAGAAATGGATTCTCTTCTGGAAATGAGTAGCAAGCGTCATCAATGTTTAAACATAAAGGTCCTCACTACTTTGGAAACTTATTTAAACCAGGACTCTGTTCTGCCCATATATTTTACCCTCTTGAGGCTTAAAAATTAGACTGTTTGGGATCTTGTCTTTTCCTGTCCTTGGATGCTTGAAGCCTCCTTGATTGCAGTGTATTTTTCTGATCACAGAAGACCCAAGTTCAGACTTCATGAAAGCAGTAGACACCAGTTGTTCATATGGGAGCAGAACTCCTGTCTCTGAGTCAAAAGTAGCAGAAGGGAAGCCTTTAGGTTTTTGGTGGTTTTTTTTAACTATGTGCCATTTACTCAGGAAAGAAGAAATGTACACAATCTTGCACTGCCTTCACTGGGTATGCGTCAGTATGTCTGCAAAGAAACACCAGGAGTGGAAGAGCTTCAGCGTTAAAGGCCATGTAAAGGTCACACTTGGAGAAAAGCTCTGATTCAGTGAGCAAAAAAAGCTGGAAGAAATGTTAAGAAATAGATATTCTCTCAGTATAGTATGCCCAGTCAAGGACCTTGAAGTCACTATTCTGTTTTTTTTTTAATTGAGTTATGTTAAAACGGTCATCTTCATTCCTCGAACTCCCATCTTTTGTCATCTGCTTTCATATTGTTCTTCCAGCAAAAGACCTGCTGGATTCAGCTGACTCTCAGTCCATCTAGATCTGGTTTGTTACCCAGCTTTCACGTTGCTTCTTGCAGCTGCATGGCATTACACTGACACTTTCTTAACTGTCAGGTAAGATAAAATTTCCCCTAATACTTTTGGAAAAACACGGGGTGGAGAAGCATCATCATCCTCCTCAAGCACCATGCTTCTGCCAGGTGTCCTGACATTCTCCCCTTAATGCCATTTTTGGGTCATTTTCATTGTTCATCCTGGAGTTTTTTAACGTGAAGTTAACCCTGCTTTCAAACAGACTATTTTCTTCCTACAATGTGACAACATTAAGCAAGACACAAAGTATACTTGAGCCTACCTTAAGGATGCTATATACCAGCTTGTGAAGCTGTCAGTTCTCAGTAGGACACTAGCACTTTGTAACAAAACATGAGCTGCGATCCTATATCTGCTGCAAAGTTCTGTTTTGTTTTGTTTTCAGAAATAAAACCTGTAAAACATAACGCCTACCATCTATTCAGTGTCATCTTTTTGTGGACTGTTCTTGGCACAGCAACAGCAAGAAATTGAGCTCTAATATAGTTGTATTTAAAATGTACTTTAGATCTTCAGCAGAAGTAGGCTAGCACAAGATGTAGCTGTCTCAATCCCAGCTGAAACTCCAGTTGAAATTCCAGCCTATATAAAGTAATACAAAAAGTTTATTCCATATAGAGCACTTCAACCTATTCATCAGCACATGAAACAAGAGGAACTAGTTGAAATAGACCCAAAAATCAAACCAGTTGAGTCAGAATGTCACGCCTAGCACTGAATTGTAATTTTCTGAATGTGAGCACCTAATACTTTAGTCCACTCTGTAGCATTTTGTTTATTACTTTCATTATGGTAGTATTTGGATATGGAGAAATAACACTGAGAGTGTCAGATGCATTTATTACAGTTTGCACACTGAGAATGCAGGTGTTGCTGTCAAACATCATCCACTTTAAGAAAAAAAAAATGGAGGAAAAAAAAATGAGCTCTCTGGAGACATCCTTCCAATTCAAAAGTATTTGGAGTACATCTTAAAGTTAGATATATGGCCTATCAAAGTCTTTCCAGTCATGGCAGACTGTCAGGCTCCAGTCAGATCAATCTGAGCATCAGTTCCCTTCCTTCCAAGGTCTGGGTGGGTTCCCTTAATACCTGGTCAACACCTAGAATTATGATCTCATTTTAGGATTTCCTATTATGAAAAATCTTGATTCTTAGATGTTTTCATGAGTGAGACTTTTTAAATTATACTGCTGCTTGAGGTCTTAAGACTCAGCAGCATGTTGCCACAAGTTTCAAGGTCTAGTATCTCAGATACCAACCTCAGAAAATTTAACATCATGGATTTCTGTTCTAATCATGGGCCTCTAGATGCTGCTGTCTTATCACTGTGGGTTATTGAAACATTTTTCCATCTTTCAGGAGTTAAGGAGAATTTGGAAGTCAGATAGTCCAGATCTGTCAGCAATTTAAGATACTTGGTGTTGGTGTCCATTAATAGTGGCTTTTGTAATGCCACTGTCTTTCTGCAGTTCCAACTCTGAGCTCTGCATGCTATGGTAAACTTGAGATCTTGAGTTAGTGTATTCTCAGTCTTGTGGCTAGTGACAGTGGTTCAGATGGCTTGCAGCACACCATTGCCATTAGCATAGGTCAGTGTGATGTCATCTGAAGGAAATGCATTTCATGTCTCTCTCTGGCAGACATCCGAGTAGTTCCCTATTACATTCTGAGATGTTCCATCTAGTTTGGTCCTAGCTGGCTTGGTCAAAGACCCACTCTTGCCTATGAGTGAACCTTTCCAGGACTCCCAGTTGTGACGTTTGTCATGAAGCAGGACTCTGGCAGAGGGAGGCTCTTTTGCCACAAGCCTCCCAGCCTCTCCCCTCCAGGACAACAAAGTGTGTCTATACCACAACAATTTTGTCCATGCAGCTGGGACCTCTTGTTGCCCACAGCTGCTCAGATATGTTTTTTTGTAAAACAAAATGAAACAAACCGAGCTGGGAAGTCAACAGTAAAGTTGGACCTTCATGAGCTTCCAGGTTTCAATAGGCAGCATTTTGAGAGTGCAGGGCGTAATGCGTCTTAGTTAGAGCATCTATGTAAATTGTGCAGAGATTGATGGGTTACAGCAACAAAGCTGGGTTTCCTTTTGTTTTGAAGAGCAGTGTTTTCTAATGGAAGTAAGGTGTCAGGGAAATTACTGTCACAGCAGATGGACTATTTCGTTGTCTTCAAGAGGTTCCAATTTCAGGAGCAAGGTTTGCCAACTGGTCTAAAAAAAAAAAAACAAAAAACCAAACCATAAAAAAAAAACCAAACCCACAACCAAAAAAACCCTGCATTTCTAGTCTGTGTCTTGGAACAAATGCTGTGTTTACTTCAGTGACTGTAGTGATAATTTTTCAGTCAGAAGTAGTATGTGAGCTACTTGAGGTGTGATGCAGTTCTAAACCATCCCATTTGCTTGTAGATGACAGATGTATTTGGCATGTGGCATAAGTGTTGCCAGTGAGTGCTTCCCTGCATGAACATCATAAATAATACCAAGTGTTCATCATTATTTTAATCAGCGCTTAAGAAAATTCTTCCTGCTGTGTTTCAAGAAAATATATTGTGCTTGGCTGGCACAAGGCATAGTTATACTCTGGAAACTAATGGAGGGAAGCATTTGCTATGTGACTGTTTAATCTCGATACGTAATTTTTTTCAAAACATCTTTACTAGTAACTACCTGTAGTGTACCATATTTAGCATATGTTAATTCAGCTGTGGGATCTTTTGAAGTGAAGATGACTACTTAATTCTCATGCAGAAATCCAGACCCGCAAGGGAATCTCTTAGGTATGGAGGGTTGCTGAAGGATGCGAACACTGTATCTCATCAGACGTAGAACATACGAGATGTATGATTGCAGACCTACAAGCTAGTCTGTGGGAAGGTACCAGCACAGGTTCACAGTGAAATTGTGATGACTTGCATGAGCAGAAAACGAAAGAGCCTATGGTTTAAACATCAGAACAGCAGTATTTAAAGCTCATTTGATTTGCTGAGTCCAACACCTTGTTGTTGGCACCATGTGCTTTTGCCAGAGGGAGTTTGAGGGTTGCTGTGGCGGGAGGCTCCATTGCTGTGCTGCTTGTCCTGAGCATTTGATGGTGATTGGTTTTCTGCAACTCAACATTCTTAACTTATCCCTGGCTCTAAAGATGGTCGCGGGTGCCTAGATCGGTGGCAGCTGTAGTATAGGGATACTTGATGTAAGAGTGTTGCCTACTGACGGGTGTAGCAGCCCCACTGTAGATTTAAGGCAGTAAAGTGGTAGCCAGTGGTTCTCGAGGTCCTCCAGGATTGCTGCCTCAGGGTGGCCAAGTGCAGTTATCACCTGCTTCGGAGGACAGGGTGCGGTGGCAACACTGGCAAGCTTGAGCAGGTCCCTTGCGTGACTGTTGGGCTCAGTGCTGCAGGAGTGCCCAGGGAAAAGGCTGGCTGTCCTTGGGTCCCTGACAGCTTCACTTGGGCCATGCTCTGGGAACAGCAGAAATAGAGGGTGCTCATAAAAAGTCCTTATAAAAGTGAAGCAGGTTTTTACTCAGTTGCATCCATACACACATAGCAACAGGATCCATTCAGTCTTTTATGGCTTTCATATAAAAATTGCCTGGGAATACACAGTGTTTGCTGCCATGAGCTCTGACAGCTGCACCACTTGCGCAGTGTGCACTCTGCACTTCGTTTCTTATAAACAAGTGAGGGGAAAACATACCTATGTTTTACAGATTTCTGGATCTACCTGGTGGCAAAATGTACCTGACATACCTTGGTCATCAAGTGGTTGGAAGAACAATAATCTCCAGAATATCTGTAGGGCTGGGTTCTTATTTGAGCATTTTCAAACAGCATCTATGCAGATGTATTTTTGAAATAACTGTTTTGTGAGAGTTGTACTCATAATACATGTTTCATGTGTGAGAACCATGAAAACACCCTGAGTCAATATAAAAGCAGTAGTTTCACATTCACAGACAATGTTAATCTACTACTAGTTTAAAAAACTCTAGAGAAAAAATAGATGTGTGCTGTTCCACCTTGGCAAAGTGATTTTATAATGACAGCCAAAGGTTGCCAGCAGGGATTTAAAAGCATCTTTAATAATGAGATAAAAATGTATTCTTAAATACAAATTTCTAGGCTTTTAAACCATTCAGAAAATACTCCCAAGTGCTTTGCAAGATAAGTGATTTTTTTACTACTTTTTATTAATAAAACCACAAATACAGTTAGTTTAACAATTTTCAAATAAATAGTAAGTGGTGGATGTCATTTTTTAGATGCCACACATTGCCTCAGACCTAGATGGGAGCCCCTTGGCAGCACTGGCCCATCACACTTGGCAGTGCTTGTGGCAGGATGTGGTGTCATGTCTGGAATGTGCAGCTGCCTTCAGCATCAAACCACCATCCTATGAATCTCTGCCCTTGGAATTCCATTGCCATCAAGATAGAAGGGGCATAAAAGCTGTTTAAAAACTAGTTGGGTTTTGTCACTTTTGTCAAATCTACTGTTCAACTGAAAATGCTTCAGATTTGATAGAGGCAAATCTCTTCTTGCTGGAAATTTGGAATGTCAAGCCTCACTTTCAAATTTCTCACCTTCCTTTTCAGTCATCTTGCGTTTCCTCTCTTGAGCAGCTAAATACTTGATGGACATCAGTAGCAAAGCTTCTCACAGATTTTCAGTAGGACAGGCAGTGCCCCACACCTTCCTGAGCTACTGCATAACTCTGAAAAACCCACAGAGTAATTTTTGAATTTGTGGTATTTTAACAACAATTTTCCCCAGCCATGGCTGTGCATCAAATACAGCTTCTGCAAAAAGATAGGCACAAGGAGGTGGGATCCTCCAATGAGGTTGGTAGAGCAGCAGAGCTGGGCTTCCCGGGCCCTTCTTCCGCCCTGGCTTTCTGTAGGAAAGCCCAAGCTGTGTTAGTGTCAGGAACCTGTCAGGCTTTTGAAATAAGATAAATTATTTCCTTCTCTTAACAGTTTATTGAGAATAGATTCACGGTTTATGATGATTTGGCCCCATTCATTTTTCAGTCCATGGCTTGTTATAGCAACTAATGTACCTTGAAGTCACATGCTTTTTTTAAGAAATAAATCAAAACCCCTTTCAGCACTTGAATATTAGGCCTATGACATTTGTGTTAACTCATACTGAGCCTTAACTTGTAAAATAAAACTTACTGCATTTCTAAATTTCCTTCTTAGAGGGAAAAAAAAGTCCCCAAACAATTATGTTTTCTTCCTCCATAGTTACTGAAGAAACCTTCAGATCATATAAACATAATATGGGCTTTTCCAGTTACCTTGCCCGTGTAGCCTCGCCTAAGCCAGCAGGTATGTGTCGGGGAAGCCTGTGGGATCAGGACCATGTTTCTAGGAAGCAGCATTGCCGTCCCTCTGGAGAAGGCACCCTGGCTGTCAGGAAGCACCGCGCAGCAGCCCCGCTGCTTCCAAAGGGATTGGGGAGGGAGCACAAGGGGGGTGATGCCAGCTGAAGGGTGCAAATGGACCCCCACAGCACCCGCGGCAGAAAGCTGCAGTAAGAGTCGCACCTTCAGGATTCACGTATCACAGTAAGGGCTGCTGTACTCTGCGTCTCTGGTCAGTCAGAAAAACATTGCTGTTAATTTCCTCATCTTTCACCTACATCTGTTTGAAAGCTGTCCCAGGCACTTTGCATCACAGCGCTGGTGTCGGGTGAGCAGGTCTCTGTGGTTTTCAGTTGTTACAGTCGAAGATTTCACAATGGCTGTGGCAGCACCGGATACTTGGCATTGTAAACTCCGGCCGTCTCCTTGAAATACTGTGGTGGTGGTTGTCTCAAGGCCCTGTTGCATGTGGCATTATTGCTGGTGCACAGACATTTTTATCATATTATTGTTATGGGGCGTTGATTTCATCAAGAAACATGAATTCGGGAAGGGTGCCATAGACTTTTGTCATTAAATATGTCACTACGTAGTCTTTTTTCACCTATGTGAAATTTATAAATGAGGGAAAAAAATAATTCAGAGTGCAGACAAGCCTATAGGAGAGGCCAGCATCTCCATAAATCAAATTCTGAGTTTGTGTTTCTATGGTGAGGGCAGGTCAGCAAGCTGCTAAAGTAACTGTTCACTGCAAAAATGGTAAACAGATGGATTCCTACAGCCATCCGTAGGTGAGCATGACAGACCAGTGCTGCTGCTATTTATTCTCTTCCTTGCTTTCCCTGTAGGCTGGTTGCTATTAATGTTGTTATATTAATCGCACACTGTAAGGCAGCTGAAAGGAGCTCTATGTGTGGGGTCAGCTTTGGGCAATCATACTACATAAAATGCAACATAGCAAATCATCATCACGGTACTTTTGATACTTCCTGATGGTGTTTCATCTCAGTGTTTGTGAGTGACTATTTAAAATGTCCCAGGCTCCTAACTTGACTTTTTTTTTTTTTTTTTTTTTTTTTGGTGAGGCAGTCATGTTTCATGTAAACCAAGTTAATTCTTTGGGCTACTTGTAGCAGATTTTAAAAAACAGCTACTCTTTGAATTCCCGACCCATGCAAGCTATTGGCAAGAACCAGTAGAGGATATTTATAAGACACAGTGGTTCTTGTCAGTATCGGGTTTTCTTGCTCATTATCAACTTGCCAACAGTTCAGTCAACTTTTTTTCAAGATGACAAAAGGCTGAAGGAAAGCTTTCTGTGGCAGTCTTTGAAATGTTAGGGTGAACATTTCTTTGCATTCTTCTTGATTTGCTGCTCCCTGGTTGTTTTTTTTTCAAAGGGGGGGGGGGGACTGTAAAAGTAGACAGTCTTTTGACGGTTTCTGAGGAAGATGTAAGCTGATTCTAATAGGATGTCTGAAGAGCTTGTGTGTGTTCCTGGACAAACAGCAAGCCAAGGCAGAAAACCAAGCAGCCAGTCAGGATATTAAACACATCCTGGGTCATGGCAGGATGAGATCTTGGCAGTATTTACTTGGCACAGAATCACAGAGCCAAAAGGGACTTGAAGACATCAGCTTCTCTGAGACTTCTCAGAGAGTTTCTCTGCCCTAAGGCAGGTTAAGCTATACTTATCACATACCTGATGAGTGTGTGTTGATCCTGCCCTTAAAAGCCTTTCTTGACTATTTTTTCTTTTTGAGGGTGGTTTATTCCCCCGGTGCCTAAGTACAGAATTTAGGGTATAGGAGAAAAAGACAATATCCTCAAAAGATGCTAGAGAAGCATTTTAGCTGTTTTTATAAATGCAGCCTTAGAAATAATGATCAGATAAAATACAAGACAAGATTTTCAAAGAGCACCAGCCCAACTTTACTGCTAGCCACAGGATTCCTCCATGCCTTTGAAAATCTCTTCCTTCTAATTGTGTGTCAGGTTGACGGTTAATAGCCATATCAGGGAGGTTCCGAGAGACCTTTCTCCTTGTGCTGTGTTTTCTATCTAGCAGATGCCTTTATTTTTTTTTTTTTACAGAGTTCCGACAGTAAAAAAACAGAAAACCAAACCAAACCAAAAATAAAACCAAAATAGCAACCCAGCTTGCAAGATTTTTCCTCAGTACCCTTTTCAGACACTACAAGTCCTTCATTAAAGCCATATTGCAAGGAGGAAATCAAAAGAGAGCAGCATCCATTTCATTAGGTAGTGCTTGTGCCAGCCATGCTGAGAGGCTGGTGAGCTGGCGGGTGCCAGAGCTTGCCCTCACTCTACAGCCATCCTCTCAGCTGCCCCACAGGCTTGGAAGCGGGGTTTTTCCTGGCTGTCCTCGGGTGGGATGCTGCTGGCAATGCATTGCGTGTGCTTTCAGTGAGGTGCTTGCCTGGCGGCTGATGCAGCCTCTCCCCAGGAAATGTGGGAAAAGCTGCCCGTGATGGTGTCAGCCACGCAGGGACCAGAACATCCCTAGGTCTACGCTTTGGGACAGGGACTCATGGCTGTACCTACAATATGCTCTCCAGCTCCAAAACCAGGACCAGTGGAATAATTCTGAAACACTTAGGAGACTAATGGAGCGAGTCTGGTGTGCTAGCAAGAGCAGCCTGCTCCCTTGCTGACGGTGTGCTGAGTTACCTGGGGCGGTGCCACAGTTTATCGAGGAGTCTTCAGTGAGACAGACTCTGCTTTTCTCCATGCAAAATACCCAGTACTGGGAACATGCATCCAGTGGGGCAAGCAAAGGGGAAGGCACATCCCTCAAGCAAGGGGTGTAATAGCTTTCATTTTCTACCTGTTCTAGGCTGTAGAGAGGCTCCCTGCCTGCGCTCCTGGTCACTGTGCCTGGCACCAGGGCAGGGTTTTGCTGTGCTCAGTGGAAATCATAGGCTTGCAAGAAATGGGTTGGCAAACCTCTTCGACGCTGATGGTCCAGGCACCAGGCAAAGGTCAGCCCAGCTGTACCAGCATGCTGCTGGGACCTAGCCCCATGTCTCACCAGCCCCACTCTTCTGTGCAGCCCCATGCAGCTCAGAGGTGGGGGGAGGCAACAGCCAAGCCCCCTGGTTCCAGCAGCAAGCGGTGTTAGCACCTTCTGCAAGGCATGGCAGCCCCTTGTTGGCCCCACGCTGCCATGGCAGGGGCTGGCAGCACCGCTGAGGGCTGCACAGGGTGCTGGGGTGCTGCTGAGCACTAGCTGTGCATGTCTGTGGCAGCAGAGGTGGCCCTGCAGGTGCTGCTGGAGGGGTGCAGTGCCCATCAGTTGCTGTTGTGGTCCCAAGGCTCCCTTTAAGCTGCTCCATGTGGTGGTACAGACCCGGTCACTGACACCCAGGGAGGCACAACAAATTAAAACAGGGACTGGGTGCTGTATTGAAGAGCTGAAATTAAGTGATACCATAGGCAGGACACGAAGCAGAGGCCCCAGAAACATTGGCCACCTATGGGTGCTCGTTGGCCCAGTTATGGGCATGGATATGGCAAGGGACCCAAGTCCAGATCCAGTAAGAGCCTTTGACATAACCCAGTACAAAGGGTACCAACCAAAGGCTGAGTTTTTAAGGGCAGTATCTCCACAGACAACCTCCTGCAGTAGTTGGCAATCTCAGAGTGTCAAGAAAAAAAGCATTTAATGGCTAAAAAGGAAATGGGTGCAACAGAGCAGTTCAGAAAAGGCAATTTCCTCAACAATCTTGTGAGTGGAAGAAATGGCACTTTAAAAGGGGAAATGAAGGGTGTGGAAGGGTTGAACTGATGTTCCCCAAGCCCAGTAATCACCCTGGCAAGGATGGCCTAGTGCTAGGAGCTTTTGCCTCCTGGTTTCACACACAAACTATAAAATAACAATGGATGCCTGTCAAACTGCACTTCAGTTGCAAATTAACCAATATGTTCAGCAGTCCCCAGCTTTCATGACTGATACCATCTTCAGCAATGCCTGGAGAAGGAAAAGTGTTTTCTTCCGTGTTTCACAGTTTCTCTCCTGCTCTGAAAGACTCTTAATCCCTCATGCTCCCCTGATTTCCTTGCTCCTGCTCACCCTAGCAACCCTACCCAAGATAAGCAAAAATAGGTTGTGGTGGAGTCAAAAGTGACAAAAAAGGCTGCACTTCGCAGCAGATCAACTGGAGCAAGACTTCCAAAGTACATACTTTTCCTTCATAGACAATAAACCACATAAGCAGACAGTAAGGATTAATCTTTAGTTGATTTTATATCCAATGTAAGTGCATCTCTCTTAAAATTTGCCTTTTTATTTCTCCTTCCTAGTGTATTGGGGTGATTCTCATATTTTCCCTGCTGTTGAGTATCAGCCTGTGCTTTGAGTCCTGTAGAGCTGAACAGGAATTACTAACAGAATTGAAAAACAGCACCAGTCCTGTAGCCCTTGCAAGCACAAAATTCTTACCAAAATACAAAAAAGGGGGCATTTACCTCCTCTTGTGTTTGCATGTCCATCTGTGTAACACCAAGGGTAAAGCAAGGTCCAGGTACATAAATAAGACAAAGTAATACTCTGTGGCGATGCAGACACTGAAGTGACTGAGTTTTAAGCAGTGTCTGTACACAGTGGCTTTCCTAGTACAGACAGAAGAATTTACATTGTGCACTGTACAGGTCAGCTTCTAGCTTTTGTGTGTGCTTCTCTTCTTGTGGTACTTAACCTGCGCGCCCCAGATTGGTACCCGGATGAGAGAGAAGGGATACCTGCTGCTTGGAATAGCTAAGATTGCTTCTGAGGTCACTATGAAATATCAGTCAGGAATTTTCTAGCTTTACTGTTTTGTAAGCAAAGATGCAGAGGGCAGCACTGAATTCAGCAAGGACTAGTTTGCCTGGCCAAGTGCTAATGGCAGATGTGTTTTTAAATACAGTCCATCCTTCATTCTCTAATACTGCAAGTACATCCTGTTCCATCAGGGCATCCTTCTTTAAAACACCCATTTTTAAGCTCCCCTATCAAAACGTCAGAGTTACTATGGGAAACAGTTTATTTATTGCCAACCACACTTTTCTTGATACATGTTTTGCACTGTACTCAAAAGACGGCTTCTGTTGGGGGTGTGTTGTGTGGTTTTGGTCGGATGTCAACTTTTCTGCCCAGCGGCCTGTGCCAGGCCAGGGATCCCAGAGGAGCAGAGTGGTCCCTTGTGCTGGTGGGACTATGCCAAGTCACATGGGCAGGATCCTGGCTTGGCAGGTCACAAGGAAACGTTGCAGGCTGGGAGGGATACCTGAGCTCTTGTGAAAACAGAGTCAAAACCAGAAACATCCCTCCCGCCCCCACAGCCATCTCATCCCTCTGCGTTTTCTTCCCAAGTGGGAGACCCCTGTGCTTGCGCTGCTGTTTCAGATCTGAGCCACTTACTTCATGCAAACCTCACTCCTCACCACAGGGGTGGCACCCAAAGTAGAGCAACTGCACGTCAGGGTGTCATCACTGGTTTGGGAAGAGGCTTCTGGAAACCCTTACAGCAAGGAGTGTGTTACGTGACATCTGCATCATGAACAAAAGTGATGTAGCACCTCATGAGCAACGAAGCCTGGGGAGGGTTGGCCTGAGAGCAGAATGATGTCACTTACAAAAGGGGCCTTGTCCCTCAATCCCTGTTTTTAGTAGAAACTCCCTTGGAAGACATGCTGCCCATCTGCAAGCGCGTGCTTCCACTTTGCCTTTGTGAGCGGACCCCAAGGTGCAAAGAGGGAGCATGCTGGAAATGGGTGGCACAAAAGGCACCCTTGGTCTCTCAGGGTCCTAGCGGTGTCCTCAGCAAACATCTCTCCCTTACCTATCCTCTGCTTGGTGGCTTGGGCTTGGCTCTTGGGCAGCGGCAACAGGCAGCACTCTGCAGCCTGCATGCCTGCCTGTCTGCCTGCTGTGGGGAGCATGAGCCCGAAGTAGCCCAGCTGGAGATCTGGCCCAAAATGTGTTAAAAACATTTCCTCAAATAATCGGGTTTAATTTTAATAAGTCATATTTAGTAGCCCTCAGGACACTGGTTGTGGGAGAGGGAAGGGTTATGGACCTAAAAATATTACAGGCTGGATGGATGGATGAATGGATGCTGCATGAAGAGCTGCTGGGAGTTTGGTGTGGGGTGAGAAGCTTCACATCTTCCTTAGGGAGAGGAGCCCTTGCAACACGGTTTGAACAATGTGGCGGGGTTGGCAGGGGAAGCACTTTGACTGAGAACTATTCTTTTAGATTAAACAACAAAACTCTGCATGCACATACAGACTAGATCTTCATAACGCGTCCAGGCTTTGACAGTGTACTGCAGCATTATTGCTATTTATACTCAACAATTACTAACACTATAATCCAGTAAACTTAGTGGTAGCAATTACAGCAACATAAATAGCAATCCAGATGACTAAAGGCATTGCTGTCAATGCAGATGGCAGCTATAGCATTAGAAAAAAATTTGGAGGGAAGATAGTGGAAGTTGATCTGTGAGCTTGGGTCTGCTAGTCTTTTATACACCATTTTTAATATACTTCCTGAAATGAAGCTTCAGAAAGGTACACTGCCTCTTTAAAATTAGTCTAGGAACTACAGGTAGTTCACATTATTTTTAAAATAATAAATCTCTATATATATCTATATTAAAATATATATGTATACATAAGTTGGCTAGCCTACCTTGTGGAAAGGCTGCAGCTAAACTAAGTCTGAGCTAATATTGTATTACCATGGTCTTCTGGTTTGTAGATAGCCCTTCCTTATTAGATGAGGTTCTGTTCTTGCTCCACAGAAGGTGCCTGTGTATATAACTCCTTTGTATTGCTTTCTGCAGAGTCCCTTATATATTTCTTACTACTAATGCTGTGTAGAAAAGGAAATCCAGAGATTTTACTACTGATAATTAACCATATAATGGCCATTAGCAAAATAAAGATTTAGTTGTTTGGGAAACAGATTATTTATATTGTGTATGGTTTATTGCCTGATAACTTGTTTGGTGACTGGATATTCTTTTCCTTCTCCTGGTCCTTTTCTGCTTTTTCCAGCTATGGTGTTTACCCCTCACTTTGATTATCTAGCAGGCAATAAAGTATATTGTATGTTTTGAAGCCAAGCGGTGTGCTTCTTAATTGTCCATGGAGGGGGAGTCAGTGTCGGCGGAGGCGGATGGCGGAGTCGCAGCTGCTGCCTGGCAGGAGGATACCTCTCTCCTGGCACCTTCTTGACAAGGCAGGGCCCAGGCAAGCACCTGAGACAAAAACCTGGTGTTTCCTACTGAAAAGGAAGGAGCCGCAACCACAAGCAGTTGTAGCCTTGCTTCCTAGCCAGCCCTAAGGATGTGAGGAGACCATGTGGACACAGATGAATTACTGTGTATCTTCATTTCACACAACACCACTTTTTACTTCTCCATCAGGGACAGCAGTGGCAGTGGCAGGTACTGGCACTGCCCCAGCAGTTTCTGGCTTTCTCAACAGCCCGGTGCCCTGGCAGTGCCAGTTTTTACCCTGAGGTACAGAGCTTGGCGTGTATGCCAGGCTCGGGTCTGTGGCCTGGCCGGGAATGGCGGGGGCATTCTGTGCTTTCCCACACACAAAGGAAAGCAAATCCTCCATCCTCAGCGGCTACACACCCAGGCAGCGTGTGCCGAAACACTGCTCCCAGGAACACGCTCATGCACGTGTCAAACGTCCTGAACTTACCCCATCTACTTGTTTGGGGCTTTGTTTTGGTTTGATTTTAACAGGGAGTCAAGTTCTGCATGGCAATTCCTCTCCCTCCTGACATTTGTGGCATTTTTTTTCTGGGTTTCAAAAAATTTCTCTCCCAGAAGCGACTAGTGGAAGCGTGCCAGTTGCTGTGTTTGCAGGAGGAGCATGACCTTCTCTACCCCCATTCCTCTTCCTCAGCCGTCGCTGCTCAGACGTCACCGGTCACCTCCTGAGGGGACAAACAGCATCACCCCCAACTTTGCTCTCCTCAGCAGAAGATGGTGCAGGTAGAACAAGGGGGCTGTGATGGGGTCACTGACCTGACAGAGCCGGTCCTTCTCTGGGAGCTGGGATGTGGGTGCATGGCCCTCCTCCTGTATGGTGGCTCGGGGGACGGGGTGTAAGAGAGCAAAGCTGCTTCCTGCTAAATTGCATAAGGAACAAACATCTCTGGTGTCTGGGGAGATGAAGCTGCTAAAAAACTCAGCCTTCATCGGTCAAAACTATTTTCTGGTATTTATTTTTACCCGTTCGACCCTGTAGCAAAAGTTGAATTGGTGGCGCTGCCTGTGCAGCAAAGCTTTCCAAAAAGCAATAAAAAAACTCTCATTTGTAAGTCAAGCAGATTTTTTTTTGCTTTAGCTCTGACCACCTATTTTGCTGGTTTTAGTGTGGACGTGTGTGTGCATACTACCTGTGTGTACACATGGGGGGACAGGTGAAAACCTTAGTCCATACTCCCTAGTAATTTAAATAATGGAATTGCTCATGGATGCTGATGCTCTAAATGATGGCAGTTGCCAACGTGACAGTATTTTTACAGTTTTGCATTCATGCGGCCCTGCTTGGGCTCCTGCCTGAGCACTGCCCTGGCCCAGGCACCGCAAGGTGGGTTTCCTGGGGGAACAGGATGGCAGCCCCAGTGCCCAGCCAGGCAGCCACGGAAGGGCTCACTTGTGCACCACGGGGCGAAGAGCTACTGCTCTCCAAGGAGGGACGGAGCACCTTGATGATGAGGTTACAGACAGACATGCAGCACCGCTGGGCAGGGTCCCCAGCCCCGCTGCCCTCCCCGCAGTGGGGAGGTGCAGGGACATAGCCAGAGCAGCGCTGCACAGCCAGGGGCTGATCCCCTCCGGTGGGTCAGATTGTCCCCCCACACGCAGCCTGGAGCATTCCAAATCCAGCTGGGGTGAGTGGAGCAAGCTGCTGCCTCCATCCTAACTGGGCAGCTGCTTCCCTCCCACCCCTGACAGCTGCCTGTGAAGGACAGACAGCCCGGGGTGGGGGCGAAAAAGGGCCCCGAAGGTGCCTTTGCCATCACACAGGGACACTGTGAAGCCAGCCCCATGGCGAGGGGTGCCCCATGGCTGCTGGCAGCAGGACAGAGGGGCCCCTCACCAGAATGTGTTCGAGGTAGGCCTGCAAGGGCAAGGGCGGCACATCTTCATTTTATGTTGCTGTAAAAGGGCTCAGCAAGTCAAAAATTGATTTGCTACTCATTTTCAAGATGTCCTTTCCTTGTTTAGAAGAGGGAATACAACATGACCTCTTGAACCTCCAGTTTGTTCCTCTACCATCCACACCCCTCCTGGGAAAAAAGTGCTTTTTTGTGGTCTTAAAAACACAGAGAGGATTACTCAATTTGTTTTGACGTCAACAGAGAAGACAAACCAGAGACT